CTTTCCGGACAATTTCAGCTCACTAACAAGCTTCTGGATGTCGGCAAGGAGCGAATATTTGACATTAGGACTGATGCCAGATACTCCAATAACACAGGGCTGGTGCTTAGCGATGAACTCGGAAAGCTTTTCCAAGTCTTCCGGCTTTTTGTTCCGATCCAACATATTTGATAACCGAAGAGATTCGACCAAAGCACCCTCTTCATTAATTACAACAGCGTATGTCAGGGACCCTGGAGCGCCATCATACCAGCTTACGGCCATAAATGTAGAAGGAGAATTGCTCGAAGATTCTGGCTGTATAAATTTTCCAAACAAAAGCTTTTCTGTCAGTGAATGCTGGCAAAACTTTCCCACCGTCTCAAGAGCATCTTTCTTCATTTTCTGGCAAAATCTCTTTTTCAAATACGGCATAATGTGGTTATCGACGCAATCCTTCAGAATTTGCTTCCTAAACGGATTCCATTTCTCAGCATTGAGGGAGTATGTTTCGCTCATAAAAAAAGACTCAACTTGGCGATAGTACCTTTCCTCAAATTCAACATCAATCACCACATTTAGAAGATTTACCTTTTCTGCCTCCAGTAGCTCCAGAAACTCGGAATCAACGAACGCAAACATCGGTTTTTTCTGAAGGAACTTGATGTGTGCATATTCGTGAGTAGCGCTGATTTCATGGATGCCTTTTTCTGTTGGATGAGTCGATATAAATATAGAATTCCCAAGAAGCGCTCTAAATGCCTTTCTCACAAAAGGCTCCATTGAAAAATCTTTGGCCAAAAGAGATATCGCATTTTCCTTGATAACTTCTGGGTCTGAATTGTTAGTGGATACCATACTCTGGATCAGAGTTTGCGGTGAAACCGTCGCATCTTCAGGCTCAAATCTCTTCATCATATCGGTCAAATTGATACCAAATTGACGCGGAGTAATGCCAATTTTCGGTAAAAACTCGTGCAAAATCGGGCTTTTTGAGGAAAGCAGTTCAGATTTGCCATCAATCCTCTTAATCATGCTGACCGGGCGTTTAAATGCAGTAGATTTGCCGCTGTTAACACTCGAAGATGTGCTAAACGAATCCTTTCCATACTTATAATTGATATATTCCAAGCAATCCTCCATATCTTCCTCTTCAAGCTCGGCTTTATTCAGGTAGTGAATAAGATGAGTTTCGTCGATTGAGGAGTTTTCGCGAAGTTCAAGAAAAGATAGTATTTTTGCTTTTCTTTCCTGCAGTATCTTCCATTTCTCATCATAATCATAAATTGCCCAAAGGTCATCAAGAGAAAGGTACTCTTGAAAATACTCCTTTCTGTGTGTCGCAATAAAAGGGATCTCAAAAAAATCTTCTCGTATAAATTTTAGAATTGCCGCAATGGCGTTCAGGAATTGCTTTCTAAACTCATCCGTCAGTGGCCGCTTTGCGAGCTTTTCAATTTTAAACGCAATATAGACACTCTCCATTCGTAGCTCCGTTTCGGAGATTGGTGGCCTTTGATGCCCATCTCTTAGCTGAATACGCTCTGGGATATCAATCACCCTGATTGCTTCATCTTCTGTTGTAAAAAGCTTGGCTGCAATCTCGGCAGGCTCATAGATCTCATCAAGGGAAACGCTTTTTGATCTTATGGAAATATCATCCTGAGGCTCTAGGGACATCTCTAAATCAAAGCCCTCGCCAAAAATATCATTCATTTCTTGCCATGCACTAAAAATTGATTACTAAAACCGTACTCTGAAAAGGCATTGGATGATGAAGGCGAATGGATTGTTTGGGTCTTCGATACTGATGACCTTGAGCTTTTATGCAATTTGTTTAGTTTCTGGTCTAATCTGGATGTATTATCTTCCTCATTGTCCATATCCTCTTCAATAAAATTAGCAATGTCATCTTCCTCCTCTTCCTCTTCATCCTCAAAAAAATCCGCCTCATCTGAATACCGGGAAGAGCTCAGTTTTTGGAATGATTTCCTTGACTTTTGGAAATTTTCTTCAGATTCATCGAACATATTTTCTAATGGGGCCGTGTGAGATTTAGCTGCTGATACCACTTCGTCTTCAAAATCTGATGAACTTTCATCGTCTCTAATTCTCCTTTGGAGCCTTTTAAATTTCTTAGCAGGTTTAATCCTCCGACCTGTATTTTCTTCGATCAATTCAAAATCCTCTTCATCTAAATGATCGTCATCTGAGGAAGAAGAAGACGATGAAGCTAAAAAAGATAAGAATAACAGTACTCTTAAAGGCGTCCGTGTCTGGCATAAATAAATGAATTCAAAAACAAATTTCAAGATTAAAATATACGCTCCCGGGTGGGCTCGAACCACCAACCTCACGGTTAACAGCCGTGCGCGCTAACCAGTTGCGCCACGGAAGCACTTACCATGGATCATTTAATATGATTATGTAATACTTTTTTATCGAATTTAAGTAATCTTTTGTTAAAACGAATGAATGGGCCTTAAAGGTCTTTGGCAGATCCTTCAGCCCTCCTCCATCTCTACATCTTTAGATGATTTGAATTCAAAGACTTTAGCTATTGATGTAAACATTTGGATTTATCAATTACTGCGAGCATCTGGATCACAATCCAAGCCTGGATCCTCCTCAAGCTTTGCAGTTGAAATCTTTTTTCATCGACTCTGTAAATTACTGTATGCCAACATATGCCCTGTTATGGTATTTGAAGGTTCAGCACCATTTATGAAAAGAAAATCTCTTCAATCGAGGGCTTTACGGCTTGAATCGGATCTTGCCCGGTCTAAGTTATTGCTGAAAAAGATATTTGGTAACTTGCTATTATCGCTACAATCAAATAACCCCGCCATCGAAACTTTGGAAAATGAAAGTCTATTAAAACTTGAATCTGCACCTTTGAATTCAAGCATTTGCAGCTCCATTACCGAAAATCACGGTTCCAGTTCGGTTCCGGAAATTTACCCCTTTTCTTCAGAATATGACGCATTGTCGTCAGTTAGTAAACTAAAAATCCTAGAGCGTTATAAAAGACGAAAATATTGCAAACCTTCCTTTTTTAATTGTTCCACGCCTAGTGAAGAAAGCTTCTCTCGTTCACAAATTGAAAGAGTTGAATTTCAAGGCCGTGTTTTCAAAGAAATCACTCGTTTGAAAGATGAAGCCTCTTTGAGGAAAATATTGCATTCAAAATCGCAGAGGGCAGAATTGAGCTCTTTGAATTCTCCTCTTACCTCTGAAAAGTCAACCCTGCCGGTTGATATTAAAATTCCAACAGTACTGCCCTCTAAAGATAGCAATTCTGCCTATATGTGTTTCGAAGCCATCTGCTCCGAACCTTCCCCATCGCCATTAAAAACAAAATCGATAGACAGTTTTGAAGCTACACCGCTTGGGGTTCCCATTTTAACGAAAAATAGCAGTTTATTTGAAGATTCCCCTTCTAGTTCGGCTAATGATTCTGAACAGTCCGAGATTCTCGATTTGACCGATGTTGGCGAGTTAAACCCGCCATCAAATGCTCCTGCTGTTCAAAATAAGGCTAATACTGAAGGGTGTGTTACTATGTTGGATGCTAGAAAAGTGTATTCCTCACCTGAAAAAATGGTGGAAAGCACTTTGAGTAAAAGTCTTGTTGATAACTTTGATTACCAAGGCAATCTTCATTCTAATGAGTCTGATACTAACTGTACGAGCTTTAATGATTTAAATACCGACCATAATGATCCAGATGTTGAACCAACCAATGGCGATCCAAGTATTATATCTAGCAATCTGGATGTTAATTCGAAAGATCCCACCATAGAATACAAAGATCAATATATAGCTTCTGATATTGCAAATTTTAGCACCGAAAGGGCCTCTGAAAGCTTTGCCCCGCTGTCAGCTGATCTATTGGTCGAATACAACGATTTGGCCAAAAAAACCAGAAAGCCATCAAAAAGCTTGGCCATTCTACTTAAGAAGCTTTCTGTTTTATTTGGATGCACTAATATCGATAGCTATGAGGAAGCCGAGGCTCAATGTGCATGGCTAGCAACAAATGGTCTTGTTGATGGTATAGTATCAGATGATTCTGACACAATCATCTTTTGTGAGCTTCTGGGCCCTTCTTCTGAAAATGAAATCATCATAATTAGAAACTTGTTCGAAAAAAAAAACAGCTCGATTGAATGTTACAATTTATGTCGAATTAGGAGCCTGTTGGGAATTGACTCGTCTATTTACTTGTCACTGGTCCAGTTCCTAGAATCTGACTACAGTGGTGGCGTTTCAGGACTTGGGCCTGTAACGGCCCTAGAATTATCCGCCTTATTAAAAGACTGCAAATATGATACTAGTAAATTGCCTCATATCATTCATCACCTGCAAGATAATCATCAGGATCGGATCTCTGAATTCGAAAGATTTAGACCTTTTCTTTCGAAAATCTCTGTGTGTGCTTGTTCTTCTTTTCCAAACCAGAGCATTGAAAGGGCATATAGATTTCCAAAAGTCCATAAGAGTGTACTGAACAAAAAGCCCTGTGTAAATGAAATGAAAATCAATGTTCATGAAATATGTGGGTTCATGTTGGAAAATTTAGGTTGGCCTCATGAAAAAACAATGACCTATTTGGCTCCCGTTTTAAAGCATCGAGATCAAATGCAAGAACGGCGAAAGTGCAAAACGCTGCGATCCTTTTTTCGCGCAACCAAAAAAATTTCACTTAAATCCAAAAGAATGAATGCAGCAATTAACTTGCTGCTGAAAAATAAAATTTAAAAATTCAATAAAGTTGACATTTTATTCTTCGAAGAAAAACTCGGACGAATAAGGTATTCCGCGTCAGATTAATTTCATCGATCACTGCATTTATTCTTTGATCAATTCTTGCTCATTAGACCTTTTCTTTAATATTGTAGAAATATGACAGACAGTGCACCAGCAAGAAGTGGAGAACGCCCATCTCGTGGATCATTTGGTCGTGGCCGTGGAGGCCGGCCATCAGGCCCGCCTCGCCAAGCTAAGGATTCCGAAAAGGAATGGGTTCCAGTAACCAAACTTGGCCGTCTTGTAAAAGATGGAAAAATCAAGTCTATTGAGGAGATTTATCTTTTTTCTCTCCCCATCAAGGAATACCAAATCATCGATCACTTTTTCCCCAAGCTGGCAGATCATGTCATGAAAATTATGCCTGTCCAGAAGCAAACACAAGCTGGTCAGCGTACTCGCTTCAAGGCTTTTGTTATTGTTGGTGACTCTGATGGTCATGTTGGGCTTGGTGTTAAGTGTGCCAAAGAAGTTGCCACAGCCATCCGCGGTGCCATCATTAATGCCAAGCTCGCCATTATCCCTGTACGCAGAGGATATTGGGGATCTAACATGGGTGAGCCGCACACAGTCCCTGTAAAGGTGACGGGAAAATGTGGCTCTTCAATGATGCGTCTTGTTCCTGCTCCCCGTGGAACTGGAATTGTTGCTGCTCCTGTGGCAAAGCGCCTCCTTCAATTGGCCGGCATTTCTGATTGCTATACTACGACTCGTGGTAAGACCCGCACGCTTGGTAACTTTATTCGCGCAACCTTTGCTGCAATCCAAAATACCTATACTTTTATTACTCCTGATCTATGGCGCGAGACTCGCCTCAGATCCACTCCATATGAAGAGTTTTCGGGCCATCTTTCTCGTGAAATGGCACGCAATTAAGCCGCCAAAGCCCCCTGGGATTAATAAAATTTCAATTTTACGCATTAAATTAATATGTCGTCTCAATTTGACGCTGATATATGAAAAATTAATTCATTTTCTATTACAAATTAGTCTGGCCGCAATCCTACAATTGGAAAATAGTTTTGATGGAAAATTTTCTCAACCTATTGAGGTCACATTCGTATCTAGGTAGGAAAGCTCTTCGATGTGTTTGCCTTTTTTATGCTCATATCCCTTTGCTCATATACAATTTAGTTGAGCTAATATATCAAAGGCTCTGCATTCCACACCGTGTGAGGAACAGCCCGCACCACAGATTTGCCAATGATATTTTTATGTTGATGGTGGACCTCTTTCTTGGGGCTTTTTTATGGCCCCTAATGTTCGAGTTTCTTTTTAAACCTTCGATTTTTTTTCATCTGTATGTAGATCCCTTTTTCCACAACTATCTTTGTAATATGATTACATGGTTTATGGGATGGCCTGCCGGATTTAAGCTCAACAGCCCTTTAAATTCTTTTCTCGGGAATATGTTTCTGTGGTCTCTTCATGTTTGGAGAGGTTTTATTTTATCTCTTTTTTGATAGCCAACTTTGTTCCCTTGATTCAGGTCATTATTAGCTCATCCTTCCAGCCTCTCATTCGTAAGGATGAGAGTTTTTTTTTTGCAAAGCTATTTGGCGCAATGCTAGGAGCATCCAGTGCCCTTGCTCTGTTTGGCGATATTTTCGCAATTGCAACGCTCCATTTGAATCTATTTTATCGAGTTTCTTCAAAGATCTTTTATGCTCAGCTTTCGGTTCTTTTAGCTTTATTCAGACTATTCAGAGGTTGGCATATTTACTTTTGAAGTTTAGGAAAAAGGAAAAATGTTCTAAAAAACCGTGTTGACAGCTGTGAGTATGATTTGGATCAGCTTCTTCTGGGGACAATTTTGTTTACCATCATTTCCTTTTTGGTGCCCACCTTATTTCTCTATTATTTATTATTTTCTGGGGTATTTTTCTGCTTCTAATCGTAGTATCGCATCTGTATTCTTGCAATCTTTTGCACTGTAAACATATTTCTAGACATGCTTCGCTCGTTCCCTGCTCTGGTTTTTATCAAGAGAGTAACAGATCCGGATTCTTTTCTCGACAGATCCGAGTACGTGTTAGATACAAAAGACCCCACAAATGTCCGTGCCATAGAAATTAGGAAGCCAATCAAATATTGCACAATTTTTATGAACGGAATCCTATTTCCACTAATCCTTATTATTAAAAAGACATGTTGCTAAAATTTGTATTTTTAAATTTTATGTCTGGCACCTTGTCAGCATCGCTCGTATATGCTTCCGCTGCATGCAACAAGGGCTCTCAAATGCTAGCCGTTGCCGGAAATGGGATTTCCATTTATGGAAGTAATAGCCTTGTTATTGTGCTCACTCCGTTTGTATGGAATTTTTCCCTTCTTCTAGGATGCCACTGGTAATGGAATCAGATCCCTGTTTAACAGGCACCACGCCCCGATTACGTGTCTTGACTTTGTATATTCACACTTTGATCCCCAAGTTCCGCTTGGGTTTATTTCTTGCTCTGTCGATGGCGAAGCAATATACTGGAAGCTGGATTGCTCGTCTTATTCGGCAATTCCTTTACTTGATTGGTTTGCTTGTGAGAAAAATTGCAAGATCTATTGCATATCTACAGTTTCTTCGAAATCCTTTTTATCAAGGGATATTGACGAGAAAATTCTGGTTGCATTCGGTACAGCAAGTAGTTCGATCGAAATTTACGAGCTTTCTCCCAATTCAAAAGTTCTCAACCATGTGCAGCGGATCGGCTGTGGGCGCAGTTATACGCTTTGTATTTCTCTTTTGAACATTCCAGGGCGAGGCGCATTGATGGCTACAGGAGGTTCTGACTCCAAGGTACATGTATATTTCTCTCCCGAAAATGGCTCCTCTTCACGATTCCAACTGTGCTATACATTGGACGGACACGATAACTGGATTCGTGGTCTTTCCCTTGCCTATACTAAGCAATCAAGCATTCTATTGTCCAGTGCATCGCAAGACAAGTATATTCGAATCTGGAAGATAGCTTTTTGTGATGAATTGTGCCCACCCAAGGCAGAGGTCACATCGCCCACATTAAAGGCATTTCGGTGGAGTACCGCGGATCTTGGCTTTCACATTGAGACCACGTTGGTGAGCGTCCTTCTGGGTCACGATGACTGGGTCTACTCGTGTAGGTGGGTTGGCTCTTACATTGAGGACCATAACAGCAATACTTGGCTTTTGCAAGTTCCGCTTTTGCTTTCGGCCTCCTCAGACGGGTCAATGATCTTGTGGCAGCCATATGAAAAGACGTGGATCAGCATGGTAAGAATTACTTTTTATTTGAAGGCCACTATCGGTGATTTATCAGACACTTTTGGCTACTACGGGGCCTCTGCTAGTGCAGACCTTCTTAACATCGTTGGCCATTCTCATTCCGGTTCACTGCAGCTATGGAAGAGAGAAGATGCAAGCACGGCATGGCAATGCTTCGCCATGCCCACAGGCCACACAGGGCCAATTTCAGGGCTATCTCTTTATCCAGATGGTGCAAACTCTTTTCTTGCATCGGTCTCGTACGCAGCTGTCAAATAATTTTAGGAAAGACTCGACAACAAGAATACATGCAAAGTGTTCATCCCTTCCGGGATCTCCTTGGCATGAAATTGCACGCCCACAAGTACATGGATATGAAATGACTGCAATTTCATGGATCCCACCGTGCTCTTCCTCCACAACGACCATCCCCAGATTTATATCTGCAGGCGACGAAAAGGTTAGTGTAGATGCAGATACAATCTTATCCCATTTTTGAGTCTTTGAACCGGGCCATCGCGATATTGTTTTCTTTTTCATGCGACTAATGATGTTGTTTATAGGTGTGCCGCATTTTTGAGGCAACAAAGCCTTTTCTTACACTTGCCAATGCCCTTGGAGTCGGCCATTGGGATCCAAATATGGCTCAGTATGAAAATGCTCAAGTTTCGGCCCTCGGGTTGACAGCCAAACAGTATTCCGCCTCTTCAGAGCTATTTTCCACAGACCTTACGGCTCTTCCTACAGAGGCGGTCCTTGCCACGTCGACCATTTGGCCTGAAATCAACCGCCTATATGGGCATCCATACGAAATATATTCGATTGCTGTTTCGCCATGTGGAAATATCCTAGCAACTGCTTGCAAGGTTGATTTATAACCTCTCAATCATTATAGTCGACCTCGGTAGAATATGCCGGCATTCGCCTGTATGTGCGGAGTGAAGGGTGTGACAACTGGAAACAGATCAGCGCATCTCCTTTGCTTGGACATTCTCTCACCATAACACAGATGGCCTTTAGCGCCGATTCCCGCTACTTGCTGTCCCTTTCCAGGGACAGGTCCTGGATGATACATGATGTTTGTTCCCAAAACCATGAAATCATACCCAAGTTGGTGGCATGCAGGAAGAATGCGCATGCCCGGATTATTTGGTCTGGCTGCTTTTTGTCCTCCTGTGGTGGTTCGCTATTAATTGCAACAGCCTCCCGAGACAAGTCCGTAAAGGTTTGGGAGATTGCTACAGAACAGACCACAACAAGCTCGGAAGCATCTGTTTCGCTGCTGGCAAGTTATTCTTCTCCAACATCTGTGCCAATGTCGATTTGCTCGATTTCTTCGAGCCACATGGTAGCGGGCTATGAGGATGGCTCAATCAATATATTATCCGTGAAAGAAAAGAGCTGTATCAGAAGCATTTCTATGGAGCTTTGGGGGGGCGGGCATTCTGGGCCAATCACGGCTCTTGCTTGCTGGAGCACCGCCGAAGGCTTGTTGGTTGCATCTGGCAGCGAAGACACTACCGTCCGCATACATCGGTTGGTACATTTTACCTGCGATGATATTTAAATTAAACAAACGCACTTTGGCCGTTTAATTTAACAACACAGCAAATTAACAAATTACAAGCTAATAATTTTGCACCTTTTCTCATTTGGATAGTGGTTTTCATCCATCCCTTTTTGAATGGTATAAGTGTGCAATAGAAACCCTCGACGTTGCGGCCTGCCATGCACCGTCGATCATTCGTCCGGTGCGAGCCGCCTCGACACACACTTCCAATATTAAATCAATGCGTTCATTTTACCATTAATTGCTTGACGGCGGTGCCCCAATGCGATTAAAAGAAATTTATTACACATCGGCATTTTCGAGTGGAAGCCCGCCACCCTCGAGGTTGGAAAATTCCTCTTCCAAAAGAAAATGCTCAACAAGCTCGACATATTCGCGATGGCCCTCGCAGGTACGAGTTTTGTTAAAAATACTCGTGCCGCCATCGCTGCGTGAACACCAGCCCTTGGTCGCCAAACGTAGAAACGATGCAAGCTGGGCCCGAGGTGTCTCCTCCGTGCCAAAGCAGGATAGTTTCACTGCAGATGCAGGGGAAGAAATGGAAATGGGAGAACCTTCAGTCTGTACAGGAGAGAATGGTGAAGTTTCTTTGGGTCCATCATCATTATTAGCCTTTTGTGTTCTCTCGGCCTCTTCATCGCCGTTTTCTCGTACAATTGAATCGAAAAGAGAAGCCAAAGTACCTGTAGGTCCAAATAGCCACCATGAATGTAAGCGAAGCTCCTCTACCCCGCTTTTCAACAGCAATTCAAGTAGCTTGCATATGGAGACAAGGTCTGACAGCACCGTGGCATTGAGCCGATCGCGACTCGCTGCAGAGACGGTTTGTGGACGAGCGGATCGCTTGAACAAAAGCCGTCCATGGGAAGCCTTTGGGTTTGGCTCTGACCGTAAATCCCCCTGTATGCTAGCCCCAGACTCGCGCTTAGAAGATTCCTCCTTCTCTTTGGCGGTGAGCCCGGAAATCTTCCCAATATAATACAGGAGCTCGGCGTTCAGCGTTGGCCAYCACGCCAGCAACATTGATGGGCTATTTAAAAGAACAGCTGGGGTTCTATCGGCGGCGTCGCCTCTCGCGATCGAGGAAGTGGTCTGGCCACCACCGTTGATTTTGTCCTGCATCGCTATCCGCTCGAATCGTAAAACAAGCACTCGAAAAAGTAAAAAGAGCGCATCCATCAGCAATGAGGCGTGCGAGATCGCCGAAGAGCTTGCCTCAACTTGATAGTGATCCATTGACCGTACTACACGAAATAGTTCGGCAACCTTCTCGTGTATTTGTGGTAAAAAGAGCGAAGAAGAGGCCGCTGAGGATGCAAAAAGAAGAGACGACGAAGAAGACGCAGAGAGCATGGCATAAGCCAAGCGCCGCACGGCTCTGATAGTTGCCAGCGAAGAAGGCTCCAAAGTGGCTACTGCAAAGGAAGGTAAATGCGACCCTTCAGTCGAGACTGTCGAGGAGCCGGACCGGCCGAGCAACGTTGAAAAGAAGGACATTGTTGAAGAGACAGATGACGAGGCTGAGGAAGAGGCGGAGCCTTTGTTTCGCAACGAAAGGATCTCCACTGCAGTTCCGTCACCCAAACTGTTTGAACCCCCTGCCACGAGCGAAGAACTCATCGTAGCGACTAGGGCTCGCCGTAGGCACCAACAGCGGCGTCCGCCCGCGACTCCATCGATCCAGTGGTACAGTGGAAGGGCAAAGAACCGCACACTTGTCTCAAGGAAGAGGCTCTCAAGCAACTCACGCCGCCAAGTAAAAGAGGCTGTAGAGGGCATGCGTTGGAGCAGCATCAAGGCTAGGGAAAGAAATGCATGTAGATCTCCGGCCAAACCTCGGTCACAAGTAATTTTTTTGCGCTCGTCGGTTTGGACATACATTTGGTACGTGGTCTTTTTGAGATTTACAGAGTCATTATCACCAAGACAAATGGCAGTATGGCTATCCTCTTTGACAGGGCTACCCAGCCCATGCACCTTTTTATGAGCCAGAAGACAGCCAGAATGACCTACGCAGCGGCCCCCCAAGCAACCTGCTGCAAGTGGAGCCCCGGCGCGCTGGAAAGCAGCTAAGGCGGTTCTGATACCCGGCATTAAATAGTTCCCCATAAAAAGAGAAACCATGGCCTCTTGTTCTGCAAGTGTTATAATGCCGTCATCCACTGGGCCAAGAAGTATGCCCTCGATGGTCATTCCAGATAGCAGAACCAACTCCAGTGGCGGGGAGGCGGCCTTTGCAAAAAAAGGCAAAACTTGCTCAAAAAGCTTTGAGAATATCTCGCCTGCCTCCCGAGCGAGCCTGGAAACACCTACCCATCTTCCGATTCCTGTTACAGTGGTAAGTAGCGAGAGTAGGGCTGATGCAGTCGTCGCGAAAGAAGGCCGCCTCCTTGAAAGCGTGCCCAGTACATCCCTGCAAAGGGTGCCGAGCCCAGTCTTGTTCCACGCGGCATCTATGAATTGGGCTCCATCAGTAGCAGGAGTTTCGTACAATATACGTTCTATGATGCCGAGCAATGTGGCTTCTGTGGGCGAAGCCACGCCCACTTGCTGTAGAGGAGGTAATGATGCTGGCGGCTTGCTATTCTGAGACAGATGGTAGTGAGATCCGAAGGCAGAAGCCAATAGTGAATTTTTGGGGGCAACCAAAAAAAGATCTCGATGAAGGTCGACTATTCCCGCAACAAGTTCAATTCCTCGTTTGACCAAAAACTCGCCCGAAGCCGTCAAGACGTCACTCTGTTGAGTGAGAAGTGCTGGTAACAGGCGAGGAGCACTTTCTGTGGTCAGTGCCACTGGAATTACCCAAAGAGGTGCTGGAAGCGACAGAAAAGACAGATGTCGCGAGATTTGCCCATTTGAACCTAGTCTAGTGACTAGCGGTGTTGCGTGCACTAGGCCACACGTTGGCAAAGTAGTTAGGACTTTCTGGACGCACGAAAGCAGAAGCAAGTCCTGATCGAGCGAACCTCGGTCTAAGAATTCACCAGTATCTCCTGCATGCAGAATAGGCGCTGGGGTTACAAACTTAATACCCCCATCAATCTGGTAACCTCCGGTAAGAAAATCGACTATGCGCCAAAAGCATTCGACGCCTTTACAAAAGCTTGAATTGTGTGTCTGTGAGATCCTTTTATCTTGCTTGCAGATCAAAGATTGCGCGTCAACATTTTGGGCAAAGGTCCACAGAAGAGGTAAGAAAAATGACCAACGTGAAAGAACGGTGGCACCCCAGAAAGAAAAGGTAAATTCCAGCAGTTCCACCAGGATTGCCGTCTCTACAGCGGGCGAATCAATCCATTTGAGCAATAGAATGGCGACCGGGTGGTTGCAGCTAACACGCTCTGTCTCGATGGAAAAGCTTTTCTTTGCCTCTATCACCCAAGCAGCAGGTCGCACCGTTGGAAAGCACAAAGACAAGGTCAGTATAGCAGAAAGCTGGCTGAGGATGTCTCTTGGTGTGAATCTGGCACCCTTTGCATCCGATTCGGCATCAACGAGGGATACCAAATTATTAGCCCACCCAGAAACAACATTCTGAAGAGCAGGACAGCCTGTGAATCCATCACCGTTGATCATTTTCGATCCTACCACGAGTAGCGAAAGACTCACTTTAAGTGCGGCCAACCGGAGTTTGAGATCATCACAAGTGGTATTGAGGGATGTTGATTGATCCCGTCCTCTAAAAGAGGCTGTAGAGAGCCCTGCTAGTGCTCGAAGCAGACGCAGAAAAGGCCGCGAGGCACAATTACAAGAAAGAGAGGGCGTGGCGTCAGCTCTTGACCCAAGGCACGACAATTTTCCATAAAAAATCTGCATTGCCGTGAACTGATTTGTGGGACCATCCTTGAGCAGTGTTTCAATACGAGATAACAGATTAAGAGCCATAGAAAAAGAGAACCCTGTGGCTGGGGTACCCCGATTTTCAGCAGTGTTAGCGATTGTGTCTCCAGAACTTTTGAACAAAATATTGGCAGATGAAATGTTTGAATTATCGGCAGCGGGCTCCGCAAGTACCGAGGAAAGGGAATCGATTTGTTCAAAGTATGAAACGAGAAATTCAAAAAGAGAATCGGATCGCTCCTGCGAGGCAAATGCCTCAGCCATCAATAAATCGCCCCTATCGCTTTCTAGAAGCTTTAGAACGGTCCAAGGCAGCGCTTTCTCTGCTGGCGTTATCTTCAAATGGGGAATGTATATTTTTTGCACCCAAAACTTTGCAAAAAGGGTGCTTTTTTCTGCAAAGCTGAGCTCGCCACAGTCGTCGTGCAAATAACGACAGAAAAAGAGATCGAGCATAAAGATGGGATGCCCTTGGATTGTTGGAAGCTGTTCATTATCTACCGCCGATGAAAGATGAGAAAGTGTCCATAAAGCGCTATAGCAAACGTTTCGATCTGTTAGCGCCAACGGATCATCAGGGGATGCCACAAATGAGCCTTGGCCTGCAGAAATGAAGACGGCCCAAATATGTGGCAATTGAATCGTAATAAGAGCGGCGCATTCTTCTTTTTTTGAGACGAATCTCCATATTTGAGAAAGCAATTTCAGGGTGCTTTTGAAAATTTTCAACGACCAAACCTGCGGCTTTCCTGTGGACGAAGAGCAAGATCGGTCCCTGAAACTTAGTCCAAACTCGAGCAGATGGATTGCAAGTTCATTTGCCAGTACAGAGTCCATGGTAAGCTGAGGACTTTGGATGGTTTCTCTGTCCTGTAAAGCTTTATCACACCCGCAAAGACACAATGCCGATGGATGTTGTGAAAAGATTCCGGAAAGTGCCCATTCGATCAAATAATGCGTGACTTGCACACAGCTTAGCTCTGAAGTAGAACTATTTTCCAAAACCGGGGTGAGCTTTAAATAAGATTCTCTGAGGCTCTTTTGAAACGGTATCAAAAGAGAAAGCATTTTATGGCCCAGAGTTACTTGGCTGGCCAGGACCTTTTCATCCAGACACCTTTCCGGAATTTTCTTTGTGATGGTTTCCATCAATAAAAGGATGTTCATGATAAGCGACGAGGACGACAATAAGTCTACATTCAGTAGAGACGCGAGAGAGACCAGAAACTGGGGAAGGATTTCGTTGGCACACTCTTCGTCGCAAAGGGTTTTGATGGAAGATATCGAAAACCGCACCAGTCGAAGGGCATCAATATCTGAAACGAACACGGCATCTGTGGTATCTATATGTCCTGCATTTTCAAAAATAAGGGCTTTGAATATATCCCAGATCACTCGTATGTCCAGCAGTTCAAAGAAGGGCAAAGATTCTTCAATCAGCAAAGGCGACCGCTCAAGGCCAGATACCAGAGGTAGCAGAAGCTTGCGGGCTAGTGGCTCATTGAGTTCCTCTTTGTCTAAAAGAGAAACAAGGATTTTGAAAAAGATGTGAGAATCTCGTGTTGGCCTTGGCACCTTCAGGATTTCACGGAGCATCATTGCAAGAACGTCAAGTAGCAACTGTATCGACGGGAGATATGGTGATTTGCGCGACTCTGTAGGAGAATGCAAATAAATTGGGGATCGAGTTTCAATGTTTGCATGCAATTCTGAAGGCATAGATCCGGAGTCTATTGTTGAAAGCGATGTGTTTGGCTGAGGCGAGCCAACTGTGGCAGTCATGGGCGATATCCACGAAAACACTCGTCTCCATAGCGAAAGGTCTTTATGCAACAACACCATCAGCATTTGGCGCACCAAATAATGGCGGTCTTTGGACGGAAGAGAGCTATATGATATGAAAAAAATCGTTACCCTGGCGTGGTTAGTGGGATATTCCTTAATACAAACTCAAGCGCATGGCGGACAACAAGTGGCGTGACATCCAGCATCGATTCACCAATGGCAAGAACAGCCTTGTCTTGGGGTACCAGTGGAAACGCATTTGAAGGAGATCGCCCTACCCCTGCCTGGTACTGAATAAATTGGAAAACCGAAAGACGCTGCGATGGAATATCCAGTGCGACATCCCAAATGGCCTCGTAAAAGACAGAATCGCCAGCTTTTGATCTCAACGTCAAAAGAAGCTCAATAATTTGATCGAAGAAATCATTGCCCTCTTCTTCCAGACCAGGAATGATAGATTGTATCAGTGGCGAAAGACTTGACGGGATCTTCTCAACAAGATCAATAAAATGCGTCTTAAAGAGCGAAATGAACAATGGCTTGGGGATGTTAAAGAAAAGTAACGCGTACCTTTGTTGTCAGCGATGCATACTTAAAAAACGGGAGAATCCCGTGCGAGTAGATGTAAAATTCCATCGGAAGGTCGATCTTTTCAAAAAGCAAAGAATATGACTCTAGAGCTTTCTGATGCACTCCAGATGGAAGGGTGGGGTTCAGACACTGCGACAGCCGTTTGCTTATCAATAGCTGGTATGGAATTTGCGGCGATGAAGACGATGCAGGTGGAAGTGACTGGATCAGCTACGCATTAATAAAAGGTTGGGTGCTTGCCTTGTTAAATTTCAGCAAAAAGCTGGTGATGTCTGCCCACTCCTGGATCGACTCGAAGGATTGCAGCACTTTTTCAAGTGTGGAAGAAAACTTTCTAAACTTTGCCTCGGTAGACGAAAACGAAAAAATTGATGTCGTGCTTTTAATAAAACTGCTTCCCTTGCGCCCTTTCTTTTCCCTTTTTTCTTTCTTGTCCCTCTTTTTACTTTTATTATCAGAAGATGAAAGTACGGAGGGGAACATGTCGGTCAGAGACTGGTCTATGTGGGTCTCCTCCGTCTCTGACGAATCATCGCCATTTTCGTTGATATGCTTCACAGATTGTGTATCCAGCTCTGCAGATAAGCCATCTGAAGACATAGAGGACAAGGATCGCGAAGAAGAGGATTCCGAGAGTATAGGGTCAATATATTCGTCGAACATCAAAAAATTTCCAATCGTAGAAAAGTAAGTAAGTAAGTAAGCAAGCTTTACCCAAGCTAATTTAGAAAAAAATTACCAAATTAAACGCGGCATCGTAAAAACAAGTTGAAATAAATTTTAATTTCATTCGTTAATGATTCGCTCTGTCTCGATTACCAGGCTTTTCAAATTGCTCCCCTTGGTTGAAGAGTGCTCTTCTGAAGATGAAAAGGCATGGAGTATGGTATCCACTAATTCCAAATAGATCCTGGAATCCTCTCTTCCCGAATATAAGCAGCAATGCAAGTCCGTGATCAGGTCGATGTCTCAGCAGGATCCGAGAAGCACTTTTGAAAGTGGGAATTTCCACTTTCACGTGCTTGTCGACCAGGGGATCGCATACTTGTGCGTTTGCGATCGATTGCTCTCCAAAAGACAGGCATTCATATTTCTTGAATCGGTTGCGGATGCTTTTTACAAGGCCTTTGGCACTCAGGTATTGTGTTTCTCTTCCCGTAGGTCGAGGCTGCGCAAAGGCCCTATGCTTTTCTGTCTTTTCAAATCGAATTGAGTAAATTGCGAAAAGCGGCGAAAGACTCTGCAGACTTGAACACAAATCCATATGACAAGCTACATGAGGATCTTGGTGCCGTCCACAGGGTTCTCACACGAAACATAAAGGATGTCTTGCAAAGGGGTGAGCAGCTCAACCACCTTTCGGATCTCTCTTCCTCGCTTTCCGTGGAAAGCAAGAAATTTTCACGCCAGAGCCAAAGCCTAAAATGGAACTCCATGGTCGACAAGTACGGGACGCCCTTTATGATGATCCTTCTTTTCATCTTCATTGTGTATCTGTGGCTTTACTGGTTCTGACAAGCAAGCGATGCAGGTAAATTGCAACGTTTGGCTTGAGCATGGCCCAGTCTAAAACGTGTGATTTATTAGATACTTTTAAAATTTGTGTAGAACAATGGTGATGATGTGGGTGGTGGTCCTTTATAATTTTGTAAACCGCATAAATTTCCTGCAATATGTCGGTGCTTTTAAATACTTTGTAGCTATCGACGTGGGCATCGGCTTGATTGCCATTTAATTCTGTTCAAACCCTAGCGTGGTTGAATTATATCTTAGGGTTGGGGTTGAGCCTAACCCTTGCTAGACCAGAGCCGCATGCAGGGTTAGGGCCGATCCTGTTTTTGGGCACACCTTAGAAATTAAACACAATTCTGGGTTGATAAATTTAAAGTATGGCTGCCCCCACGACAGTGCAACATTACAGCCATCAGCAGCCCGCGACGCATGCCGAATTCAACCCGTATGCTGACAATGGAGGGTGAGGTGTCAAAATCTCACCATCATAGTTCGATCCTTGCCATTGCAGGCCCAGACTTCTGTATCGTAGCTGCAGATACACGCCAGTCAAGCGGATATCTCATCAACTGCAGGACAGCCCCAAAGGCCTACAAACTCACAAACAGCGCTGTGTTGGCAACTTCTGGATTCCACGCAGATGGAGCCGAATTTTATAGGGTCCTTGCAACCAAAATCAAAGTATACTCGATTTCTCCATTGCTTTTTCTTGCTAGATGTACCGCTACAAGCACGAACGAGACATGGACATTGCCTTGATTGCACAGGCATCGGCAATCCAACTGTACTCGCGCCGCTTTTTCCCATATTACACCTTCAACGTCCTTGGGGGAATCGATGCGGAGGGCCGTGGTGCGGTTTACTCGTACGATCCTGTGGGCTCGTTTGAACGGGAACCGTTTCGTGCGGGTGGATCTGCTGCTGCCCTTATTCAGCCATTCTTGGATAACCAGGTAAGCATTGACAAGCGTTTACGGTAGTTGGGAAAGGATTCGTCCGGAAACCAGCGCATACTGACGCAAGAGAAAGCGATTGCCGTGGCTCGAGATGCCTTCGATGCGGCTACAGAGCGTGACATATATACGGGCGACAATCTCGACGTCTGGGTCATCAATGCACACGGTGCCTCCATGGAACGCTTCCCATTAAAGCGCGATTAGCAATAAAGATGGTGCAGCGCACATGCTCTATTGTATCGATTGCTGCTAATGCCCGTGTTTTGTGCAAGTATTTATTTGGGTTTCCAGTCAGGGATTATTCAGATGTCGAGGTTGCATTGAAAATGCTTGCGTAGCAATCACTTGCAATGACGCGTCTGGAATGCAGACCCAGTGTGCGTGCACCGACATCATATGAAAGCATCAGTATGGTAGGGACAGAGGGTGCTATAACCTTGGGCTCGCCAGGCCGCCTATCCATAAAGGCAACCCTCAGTGTATCATTGTCCACAAAATCAAACGAGTCAAGGGCATAGACGGAGGTCTCCCCAACGCGATACCCACTTGACGGGAATACCATCGCTTTTCCAGTAGGCTGCATCAAAACAGGCACCACAAAAAGGTCAAAATACCCAATGCCGGCATAAACGACAAGAATCACTACCAGGGCATCCATGCGGCCATCCCCGTCAAGGTCTGTAAAGACAATCGGTCTTTCTAGCAGCTTTGCTGAGCGCAAATAGGGTGAAAGGCTAGGAGAAAGATGGCATATGACACCACTCTCGTCTCTCTCATAATGGATTGGAATCTTGGCACCAAAATTGCCGCCTTCAAGTCCAGCGTTGTCATCAATAAAGGATGCACTGCCATTAACCAACTGTGCCCAGATGCCATTTGTCATGGAATAGTTGAGATAGGGCAGTTGTTTGGCAATCTGAGCAATGCCTTCTGCCGATTCGTCGCCAAGAAGCGATAAAGCCATGTGAGCATGAAACAGTAAGGCAAGAATAACAAGACCTGTTGTCAGCCGAAATGCCCCTAGCTTGAACACTTTGAACATGGCGAAAGAAACGGAGCCAGATGGCTTCTAATCACAGATCGGCCCAACCATCATGTCCTTAAGCACCAATGCATAAAGAGTTTATCACAAATGTAAACACACCATTGATGATGCCGTACAATTTGTGCAATTTAAAATGGCAATTCATTTAGCCTGGAATTTTAAAAGCAAGATATAGATTAGCAATCGACGCGAACCAATCAGCACCTTGACCAGAATCAAAAGGTGACAAATAGAGGATAGCATTTCAAAATCACGAGTATCATTGGTGGATCACGACCATCAATTTGGCATCATCCGGATATATAAATTCGCTGTTTAACATTCGAGGGCATCCATAGTTATGTGTGGCATCATCGCATATATCAACTTTCTGTGTGACAGAAAAAGATCCGAAGTCATCGAGATCCTGCTCAGTGGCTTGGCACGCCTTGAATATCGAGGCTATGACTCTTCAGGTATGTACCCGATCCATTCTTATTGCCGCTTTCGAGTTGCTTATCCTGTGTGTTCTGCATTTATTTCGTGCTTATCTTTTGTTTACTTTTTTATTTGATTTTTCCCTTGTGATTATTTTTCTTGTTCTTGCTGCTGCTTATCTATTTGGATTTCCATTTACTTACCCCAGGACTTGTTGTCGACGGTGACAAGCCCGACCGTAGCGAGGTTCTCATCTACAAGCAAGTGGGCAAGGTGGCGGCGCTTCGCAAGCATGTCGAAGACGAGCTGGCAACGTCTGCTACTGCCTCCAAAAGCTTCATGTCGCACGTAGGCATGGCACATACTCGTTGGGCAACACATGGCCCACCCACAAATGTCAATTCACATCCACAACGTTCCGATGTGCAGGGCCAATTTACCGTTGTGCACAACGGCATCATCACCAACTACAAGGAAATCAAGACATTGTTGGAAAAAAAAGGTTACATGTTCGAATCGCAGACAGATACCGAATGCGTGGCCAAATTGGCCCTCTACATTTGGGATCAGCAGCGCGACGCAGGCAAGGCGCCACCTTCCTTCACCTCTTTGGTGAAGGCAGTCATAAAGGAGTTAGAGGGTGCCTTTGCATTGATTTTCAAGTCAACTTATTACCCAACAGAGACTGTGGCTTGCCGCCGTGGATCACCGCTTCTTGTGGGCGTCAAAACCGAAAAGAAGCTTAAAGTTGACTTTGTGGACGTCGAATTTGGCGCAGGTACGCTTGGGGAGGGATTGATGAGCCCCCCGCCAGTTCTTGGTGCAGACCGCCTTCGTCGCACTGCTAGCCGCGCGTTCTTGACCGAAGATGGGGAACCACAGCCCATCGAATACTTTATTGCTTCAGATCCCTCTGCAGTCATTGAGCATACCAAACGCGTACTCTATTTGGAAGATGACGACATTGCGCACATTGCAGACGGTGAGCTGCACATTCATCGACTGCGCCGCGAAGATGGCACCTCCTCTATCCGCGCGATTCAAACGCTAGAGATGGAGCTAGCAGAAATCATGAAGGGCTCCTTTGACCACTTTATGCAGAAAGAAATTTTTGAGCAGCCAGAGTCTGTCGTCAACACAATGCGTGGGCGTGTTAATTTCGACCGCCATGCAGTAACGTTGGGAGGTCTACGCGCCTATCTGCCCACCATGAGACGCTCGCGCCGCTTGCTCTTCATTGCTTGCGGAACTTCATATCACTCTAGCGTAGCCACACGCGCCATCTTTGAAGAGTTGACAGAAATCCCAGTGGGCGTCGAATTGGCCTCTGACTTTTTGGATCGCCGCTGTCCAATTTTCCGGGATGACACATGTATCTTCATTTCGCAGTCCGGTGAGACAGCGGATACGATTCTGGCGATGCGCTACTGCGCTGAACGCGGAGCACTTTGTGTTGGTGTTACCAATACCGTAGGATCAACGCTTTCGCGCGAAACTACCTGTGGTGTCCACATCAATGCAGGACCGGAGATCGGTGTTGCCTCTACCAAAGCGTACACTTCGCAGTTCATCGCGCTAGTCATGATGGCATTGACGCTTTCTGAGGATCGCATCAGCACGCGAAACAGGCACAAGGAGATCATTGACGGGCTTTTTGCGTTGCCAGCAGCCATCAAGAGCGTGCTGGAAAGCGATAGTGCCCTGCGTCTGCTAGCTAAGGAGACTTTATTCCGAGAGCGTTCCTTGCTGATCATGGGTCGTGGATATCAGCATGCCACGTGTCTAGAAGGTGCCCTCAAGATCAAGGAAGTATCTTACATGCATTCTGAGGGTATCCTTGCTGGAGAGCTCAAGCACGGGCCTTTGGCGCTGGTTGACGAGTCTATGCCGGTAATTTTGATTATGACCAAGGACTCGATCTATCCAAAGGTGCAATCAGCATTGCAACAGGTGTCCGCCCGTAAGGGGCAGCCTATTCTCATCTGCAATGATGACGATAATAACATTCCAGCTGAGCTGCGTACCATCAAGGTGCCGCAGGTAGTTGACTGTTTGCAAGGCATTGTCAATGTGATCCCGTTACAGTTGCTTTCCTATCATTTAGCGGTGCTCCACGGTGTTGATGTGGACTTTCCGCGCAATCTCGCCAAATCGGTGACAGTTGAATAAATTTTGATTAGTATAGCCTTTTTAACGTACAAGTGGCTCGAGAAACCTTGCTGGAATAAATCCCGTCCCATCTCTGGTCGGATGATGTTCATATGACACCTTCTTGACACTATCGCGAGGCAATCCTGCCCCAGAAAAGCGGGTTCGCTCTGTCTTTAGCATACTGCTGTAGCCAATCACATGTAATCGCTGGTCGCGAACTCGTGTTGTGTAATTTTCAAGCGCTTCTTTGGTGTAATATGTCAAAGCGCCTTTGCTTCGAATGCACACGCTTTTCAATCAATAAGGCAATCCCAATCTGCTTGACTTTTGGTCGAAACATGTCGACCAGAAATATTAACTTCACGGCCGTTCAAGCCACAGGCCTTTGGGCATTTTTCCGCGCCCTCTTGATGCCGCAAGATGGCAACAAATCGGAACAACTGATAACTGCGTGGATTCAAAATTGGCGCCACAATGGTACAGTATTTGACTTTCTTGTCAGATGGAGACAAGGTGTGTGGAGCAGTTTTTATTGCCCGCTGGCGTAGATTGTCTCTTCGCTTTTGCGTTTGGTGCGCGGGGCGCCTGGACGTGCAGAGGCTGCCTCGTGGGCGGCAAGCTCGGGCGGCACCCGGCTGCGGGGGCTTTTCTCAATTACACGCCGAAGGTCGTAATATATATCTGCATCTTCTGGAGTCAAAAACGTGATTGCCAGGCCGTAGCGACCGGCACGCCCAGTGCGCCCTATTCTATGGATAAAATCTAGCGTCATCATGAGAATCGCACGCTTACCCTCAATGTTTTTCGACATATCGTAGTTGATTACTGTGGAAAGGTCGCGGACATCGAGACCGCGACTCGCCACATCTGTGGCGATCAGGATGCGCTTCGAGCCGTCTCTAAGGCGACCCAGTGCATGCTCACGAGCATCCTGTGTTTTGCCACCATGAATACCGACTGTCTGGTATCCACGAGCATCAAGAAACTTGCAGAGAACGTCGACAGTTCTTTTAAGGTTGACAAAAATCAGAACAAGCGAACTGTCGCGATCAGATGAAGCTTGTGGACGATCTCTATTTGGGCCACGGTTCCGATGGCTTGAATTGTGCCTATCGCTATGGTCTTGGTCATCGTGATCAATCGTGTTGAGAATTTCAAGCAGACGATTGCGTTTGCGATCTTCAGCTATCATTTCCACGCGTAGCTCGACAGTCCCCACTGCGAGACCGACAGTTCCAACGATAACTGTTGCGGGTTTCCGCAAGTAACGTTTGGCAAGCCGCTCAACGGCAGGTGGCATGGTGGCCGAAAACATTGTCGTTTGACGAAAGGTACCTCCATGCTGCATCGGCGAGACATCCTCGATGTCTGAAGCATCAAGCCTACAGGGCGCAGATGGAAGCTGTTCCAAGATGAAATTTAGATCTGGTTCAAAGCCAAGATCGACAAGTCGATCCGCCTTTGCAAGTCAAAATTGGCAAAGTACCTCATCCATCACTACATAGCTACACCGGTTGAGCGTCAAAATCCGCTGCTCCAAACAATCTCGAAGCCGCCCAGGTGTCGCAATCACAATTTCGACACCGTCGCGAAGCCTGAATCCCTGACTAGCCATGGTATGCTATCAAAAAATTAAATCACCTAGCACATACACCTCCAATAATCGAAGCAACTCTGAATCCGAGAGACTTGGAAAATCTTTCAGCCTCTGCCTCGATTTGAAGTGCAAGCTCACGCGTCGGCGCCAAGATGAGTGCATAGGGACCGTCTGCAGCGGTTTCCTCGATAATTTTAGGACTCTTCTGCAATAGCATTAGGATGGGAATCAGAAATGCAAGGGTCTTTCCAGATCCAGTTTCAGCAAGCCCGATAAGGTCACGGTTTTCCAAGGCAATCGGGATAGCTTGTCGCTGGATTGGCGTTGGTTCTTCAAACCCAGCTCGATCAAGTACCCGCAGAATATTCGTAGAAATTCCGGACTCGGACCACTTCCTGATGGGATTGGGAAGACGGCCTCCTTTTGTGGAAAGTGAAAAATCTTCCTTAAAAATACGCCAGTCTCTCTCCTGCATGGCAGAAAGCGGCTTCTCAGACCAATGGCAGGAAATATCCTTATCTGGGAGTAGATCCATGCGGCAAGAAAGATCGCCAGCCCTCCTTTTTGAGCTTGGAAGCTCTGCAATTGGTAGCATATCTCCTGATGTATCGTCTTCAGGATGCCAATCAAAAATGAGTCTTTTGTCATTCCAACGCTTGCTCTGCGTCATCTGAGAGGATCCTTGGGTGTCTGAAGATAAATATCGACTCTAATAATAAGCGTTGTGCATGTTATTCCTTAATGGCCTCCTTTTCATGCTGTAAAAATCTTCCACCTGAACTAGGGGGCTTTGCAATTGAAATGGGATTAGGAGAGCGTCCTCCAGAAGACGGGGTATCTTGCTGCAAAAGCTTTAGCTGCTCGTCTTGTTTGCGTTTTTCCCGTTCAGCTTTGGAGATGTAGGGTACCTGCAGGAAAGTAAATGGCTCTTACCTTTTCAGCATCTCTCTTCCAAAGCATGGTGAAGACTTCGAGGTTTATTAAAATTTCCAGTTAAATTGAAATTGTCCGATTAGAGAACGCTGCAGTAAAGGTTGATAAGATCATACCTCCAAGAATATTGGTTATCCTACACCGATGTGATGTAGGAAGCATTTCAGATTTCGGAGGAAATGTGTATCTGTTCTAGATATCCTGAATATCAAGTTTATTGGACTATTCGAATAAGTGGTTTCGTCACTGGAACATTGTACGTACCTCCGTGCTTTCCACATAGCGAGCAGGCCTCCAAAGTGTACCGGTTGAGCGACGAGTTAACTTTCTCCGATGGTGGATTGCGATTTTTTCAATCATCATTGACTTTCCAATCACACATGTCAGTCATTTCTTGGCCCTTGAGATAATATGGCTCCGCCGGTAGAACACTAGGCCCAAAGATCTTTTGAAAAAAGCTTGCTTTTTTAAACCTTTGGATGTTGGCTTATGTTCGTTCGTTCATAGAAATTAGTTTCATTCCAAAAATTAATGGAAGATTTTCTACAAACGTAAATGTTTGGACAATGCTAGCGCCATATGAGAACGCTCGCTTAATGAACCCCTTTCTGGATGTTGAAAATAATATATCTTTGGTTGGCTTGCTATACAAAGCCTGTTTGGCCAGAAGAACCCTTGGTCAAATACATGCTGCGACCAACAACAACAAATAGATAATTTCAAGATGCCAAAATTCTAATAAACGAAAACTTGGATGCATCAGAAACTCTGCACGCTAAAAATCCCTTTTATGCGGTGCATCAAAACAGGCGGAGACTGAAAGAATCTGATACTTAATATCTGGAAACAGGGCGGAGACAACACTTTCTGCGTATTCCATAAAAACTGACATTTCTTCAAATCAAAAGATCCAATGTGAATTTATGCCAAGAACATATGGTTTATTTGGTTCTAGCTCTGTTACATTCACAACTGCTGTGCAAAATCTTTTTCTGAAGAACGACGAGTGCTTTGATTTGCAACTACAAAGCTTACTAGGTCGTCCATATACCTCCGAAAGGTCAGATATGCAATTGCGTATTCTTAAAATTAAAAATCGGCACACAGGAGACCATGAAATGAAAACATAAGGCCAGAAGCGCAAAGATCAAAAGCAGAATTAGAAACCTGAGCAATGGTGTAATGTTGTGCAGCATCAAGATGCAATGTTGTGTAGCATCAAGATCTAATATTTACGATTTAAAGGGTCTAGATTAAATCCGCGAGTTACTATTTGGCGTTGAAGGGGATGAGGAATAAAAAAAGCATTGGGCCTCCGCCGATTTGCACAAGTAGCAAGGCGGGAATCCCAATTTCGACCACTGCTCAAAAATACCAAATCAAAATGGCTGTTAAATTTTAATTTTAATAGTCAGTCCCTTCATCTTGATGTCCGATAAGCACAATATAAACTTGCAACATGATGAAAATTATGAAATCAGGACAGCCAACAACTTGACTATTAAGCCATTTTTAGAGGAAAACTTTTCCCCCATAGAATGTAAGCTTTACATGCTCGATGTACGTATTCATTAGTCATAAGGACCGTTTTCTCTGGTCCTAATCAGGAGAACGTCGAATTTTCTCACCCAGACAGCCTATTGGAGGAAATAGAGCAGCTCCAAGAGTTGATAAATCTGAAGAGAAGTTACATTATTCGATCCAATATTGATACGTTTCTGCAACTCTCCAAAAAGCTAGATCAATGGAGTAAAAAAATTTAACCCAATGCTGCGTATTAGTAAATGGCTGAAATTTTACCCAAATTTTACCGGAATTTTAATTAATGCCCAAGCCTTTGGTGTCCGCTTTAGACGACGAGGCTTTGGAACACAATATCATTGCCGAGTCCTTTCGCCATCACTTTGAGCCGACATATCAAAAGTATCTTATCGATAATGAGTCGCCTCCCTCGCTTCCGTTTCAATTTGAACATCTGGATCACACTGCAGATCTTCAGATTCATTCTTGGGGAAATACCCTTTCTGAGGCATTATCGTGTTGTGTTTATGGCCTTTCCTCATATATGGCAGATATTTCTAAAGTTTCCTTGAAACAAATGAAAATATTTTATTGTCCCGGTAGAAAATCGCTTATTAATGTATCTGTAGGGGCGTCCCCTGAGGATTTGGCGTATAGATTACTTTGCGAGTCTTTGAATCTGTTCCATGAGTCTTTGTTTCTGATCAGGCACATTGAGCTTAAATTTGTTGATAAAAACTCGTATTCCCTGGTGGCAGCATGGTAATTAAAATTTCCTAATTCTTGAAGCTTCGGTGAATGTTTCAACGCACATTATCACACTCCCGGAACGGAGATCAAGGCAATCACTTTGTCAAATTTGCAAGTGTCAACGAGCTCCTCTCTTGCAACTGGGTCCACAAAGTCCGACATATTTGTCATTGTGGATATATGATGGCTATTTCGCATCGTCGACATACCAGGAGCATTTTCATGTACATCCTCCATTAACATAAAGCTTTCACGAAAGTTTATTCATAAGCCACTCAAGTTTGGCTGGTGAAAATTGGATTTTACACGAGAGTTTCTTTGTATTTCTCCCAAAAAGACTCTGAAATGATGTCTTCATGTAAAATGTGCGTCGAGTTGTCTTTTCCAAATGAAAGTCGAATGATGGTCGAGCCTTTTTTGAAAATCTCCTCCTCCGTATTATAATTGATGTTGAATTGGGAGAAAAGAATTTCGTGCTTGTCTTTGCTTTGCGTATTCTAGACACTAAATGGCCAGTGGAATTACCATAAGTTTCTTTTCGGCTTGCATGGGTGAAAGATTTCCCTTTTGGACCAAAGCCCAAAAGCAAGTATTGTACAAGTTATTAATGTGGCCTAAGACATAATGATAAATGTTTTCAGCCTACAATCCACTTGACGCCAAGAAAGATAATCTCGAATGTGCTTTAGCGTGGGATAAAGCACAATTCTCCCATCAAAGGTGGCAGGATATAACATTGGCGTTTGCTCGAAAAACTCTCCCCAATGGAACATATAGACAGCGGTAAATGTAGACACAATGGTGGAGAGGATTTTGCTAAAAGATAAGTAATAAATGATGGGTTGGTAAAATACGCGGACCGCCTTTCAAAAAGAGACGTAGATGGCCTCAAGACAAAGCTAAAAAAAGCGACAGTGGAAGAACCTGTATTCATCGGACTGGCCATAGGCTATGATAATATCGGCAAACGAGCTCATAAGGCTTTGAGCAGCCCTATTCATGAGTGCAAGCGCCCGTTTGTCGTTGGGCTTTGTGAAGCAGTGCTTTTCAGAAAACCTAGTCAGAAAGATTGGATGGCAATACTTGTGAAAAGAACGGCCATCAATTCGTACCACCAAGAAAATGTCTTTCAGAAGGTGGTCTTCGATCTCAAAGGTACGAATGTATTCAAATTTGGAATTGGCCATAAAAGTAATCGATTAATTAATTAATTAATTAACTGAGTTCATTTGAGACACCAAATGTAGCGATTGATACAAAAAAGACGTTTATTGGTTCAGTGCCATCCTTTTTAAGATATCTGTGACAGAGTCTTCCTTTAAATGTGCCGGCAAAGCCCGTTCTTTTTGAACGGTCGGAGGTTTTAACTTTTGAGGCTCGTGTGATGATGATGCTTGGGAGATGGGTAGGGGCAATTTTGAACGCCTTTCTCCTTCAAGAAGATTTTCCAATTCCTCCTCAAGCTGGATTTCCTCTTCAATTTCTGATGTGGATATTGGAGTTAGCAGGGAAGATATTTCCTTCTGCTAGGAAATGAGCTCATTAATGTCTAAATAGAGGGTATCAATATCCTCTTTGCTATCAACAGACGATAGAAGATTCTTCAAAGTAGAAGACCCAAGTTGCAGGGATCGACCCATTTCCTTGCTACTCACGGCAAATCTAATTGAGTTTATGATTTGGTATATGTTGTTCTTGTTGTTTTGCAAGGCATCCTCGTAGCTGAGCAGGGAATTCTTCCGCCTTAGTAGAGCCAAGCATTTTGTCTTGTTGTGCAAATTGTTTTTAATTTCTGTCAATAGCTGTTCTTGCTCCGCTTCAGACTTTTCAATTTGCGAGCTTACAAGCCGAAGGGTAAGCTTTAGCGAACAGATGTTAGTAACGGTCGATTTATCTGCCATCATGGCCTTTGAGCCATCATTGGACACTAATATTACCGGTTCCTAAATTGGGAATGCCCAATATGTTACCTTTGGGTTGGTAGTCTCAAAGATTGTAATCGGCTTGCCAAATGTTTTCAAGAAATGCAAAAGAATTCTAAAATCAAGAGAGCCCGGCGAACTAAACGTAGCTGGGATCCCATTCTCTTGAGAAATTTTATTGCAAAGTTCAAGAAGATCTAGATGCGAAAGCGATGAATCGATGATGTCCGCAGTTGCAGGAAGAGAGGCAAAAACAAGATGCGCGAATTTCTATGCAAAATATTAAATCTTGGCTTACTTGAAGATTTTCAATCACCACAATTGTAGAATCTGGGGGAATTTCCCTGGAATATTTCCCATCTGAAAATGGGCTTAAGAAAGACCTAAAAAGGTTCCTAATAAGACCTTGAAAAAGGGAATCCCTTTTGTTGGTCGGGATTTTCAATGAAGAGGCTGTAAAAAAGTCATGCTTTGTGTAGAAAAGACCCTTTTCCATTTGGAATGAAATGACTGTTGGAAGCCCAAGAGGAGAAATCCCCTTTCTTCTGAACGCAACGGGAAGTGTTGCCACTTCAAACGAGAAAATAGATGTCTCCTTTGCAGGGAGCATTCCCCGATACGAGGTGTACAATATCAGCGGGTACCAAAAGTTAATTTTATACATCCAGCTCTCCAAGTCTTCTTCTTCAAAATTCCTATTTCGAAATGACGAAAAGAGCGCGCCGCATTTTTGATCGTCGGCCCATTCGGGCAGGCCTCTCAGGTGTTCTTGAAGTGACATTGGCCCAAGGAGTTTAAATTAATTTTAAACTTTAAGCTTTGATTTTTTATAGCCCAAAGTAAGCATGTATTTGGTTAAGATCACCCCATTCCGTCGCTTATATCATCCATCACCTGTTGCCCGTGCATTTACACAGCTTACCAAGTAGGAATGCAAATTTTTGTCAAAACACTTACGGGCAAGACCATTACGCTCGAAGTGGAGTCTTCGGACACCATTGAGAATGTGAAGCAGAAAATCCAAGACAAGGAAGGAATTCCTCCAGACCAGCAGCGCCTGATTTTTGCAGGCAAACAGCTTGAGGATGGAAGAACACTCTCTGATTATAATATTCAGAAGGAGTCCACGCTCCATCTTGTGCTTCGTCTTCGCGGAGGAGCCATCGAGCCCAGTCAGCGTCTGCTTGCCGAGAAATACAAGGTTGATAAGAAAGTCTGCCGAAAGTAAGTTTCATACAACCTAATAACCTAAGGTGCTATGCGCGACTCCCATTAAGAGCCGTCAATTGTCGAAAGAAGAAATGCGGTCATTCCAACCAGTTGAGATTAAAGAAGAAGATCAAGGACAAGTCCAAGTAGGCAAATAAACTATACTTAATGAACTCATAACTGAACCCCATACTTTGCAATTTTTCGTGCTTGCGTGCATGTATCCATGTGTGTGTGTGTGTCGATGTTTGGTTGTAAATTGTCCAAATTGGTTGATTTTAAATTGTTGGTTCTAAATGCAGAGTGGGCGCTCCATGGCCCTATTGATTCTGGACGTAAATGTAGCTTCCTGGAAAGAGGTTTTAGATGCTGAAGCATTTTCCATCCTGCTCTCTTCAATCGTCTCTCTCTCTAGGTTTATCCGCTCACTCTCATTTGCAAGTTGTGTTGAGATTTTGGCTGCTCCAAACTTTATTACAGCACCCTCGGAACATGTCAACATTGACGCTCTCCCCTCAGCGGTCCCCTCTTCATGGATTCGTGCAGAAGAGACCTTTTTCTCCCAAGTTAATGATATTGTGTCCCAAGACGCCCCCGCTTTAATGGCGACCTTTTCTTTTTTGCCGGCTGCATTGGCAAGGAGCCTTTCTTGTAAATTTTCCATTTTGGCTCTATTTTGTAGACTTGAATAAGACAAACCATGGGGGTCCCTCCAGAATTGTTTTCTTTTCCGCGGCCAAGGAGGATCCTCGGACATATGTTTCCTGGATGAATGCCATCTTGTGCGCTCAACGCATGGTACCGTTAGATATGCTTCATTTTTATTTGTTCATAGCCCCTCCCTGTCTTTTTGTAAATTTTAGAACATCCCCATCGACTGCTGGACACCCTGCAAGGAGCTGGACAAGGGATACCTTGCCCGAGCATCACACCTGACCGGCGGTCGACTGTCCGTGTTCTCTGTCGACGATATCACCTTGCTTGCATCTAAAATGATCGTAGGAGCTTTATGTAGCCTTTTCATAGGCAACATGGCTATCTCTGCCCTCCTCTTCTGGAAGGGGCAAGGGAATAACTTTGATTGATCACAGAATGGTCTGCTTTTGCCATCAGAAGCCTGTGCAAATGGGGAACGTCTGTCCCATTTGCCTAGCTATTTATTGCTCGTTCATTCCTGTATGTCAAATGTGCAGGTACTTTATAGCCGTCTTTATTTGGTAGGAGCAAATTTGAATTTGAGCGTCAGCCGATAAAATCAACAGCAAGATAGTAGTGTGTGTGGCTTGGTGATCTCAAGAAGCTACGTTTGTGCCGTAAGAGTATATATTATGATATGCCGATATCACAAGTAACTAATTCATAAATTGTCACAAGCGCGGTTGATAAATTAAACAAACGCTTACTTCAGCTAGAAAGAGTGAGGAGTTGTTGGGCGAGTGCACCATTAGTAATATTTGGTGCGAAAACTGATATGCAGGGTCCTTTCCAGATTTTAATGGCCTGCATTTTTGTCCGACCTTTTGTATCCAAGTCTATGGAGATAATCCTTTACAAACTGCTTCATTTTAGAACCGTGTTTCTCATCAAGCACATAGGAATGAGGAGGCGGTACTCCCTCCTTGCTTCGTATTTCCTTTTCAAGAAGAGAATGGGAAATCTACATACAACCATTGACACAATGCACATACCTTTCTATTTAGTTTCTTAAACATGTCAATTTCCATTTGCTTCTGATATCGGTTAATAATTGACGAAACAAGATTGGCGATCTATAAAAATTAGAAGGATCGGAACATACCAGAGTCTTCAGCAATTTCATCCACGCCGTGCGATATACTCCGGTGGCAGGTGATTCTCCGGCTCGGGAAAAATGACTGCCATGACCATCATCATCAGTATCGCTACCATTACCATCGCCAAAATGCTTCATTTGATTAGCGCTATTTATGGATGCCGAGATGGTAGCCTTTCGAATGATATGTTGAAGCTGAATAGGGCTAATAAGCACCGAGGTCTGGGGCGATGTAAACTTGAAGCTTTTATCATCGCAAATAGTTTGGGACACATTTGTGCTGTCTGGAAACGATGTGGGGCAGTCAGCTGCCGAATTTCCACCTGTATGGAGATGAGGAGGCTTTTTGACGTTCTTTTCACTTCGCTGTGAGATTGCAATATCTGGTGCTTTTGAATGGTGCCTTTTCAATGAGTTTAAAGTATTATCCATCAGATTGGAAAAGAGATCAGAAGACCCCGAATGCTGTGAAGGAGAACAGGGTGATCTGGTAAAAAAAGGCTTTATACTTTCAGAGTTTGTCATGACGGCAGATGAGGAGCCATCTAGATTGTTGCTGTAAGAAAAAATAGCAACCTCCTTGTTGGGTTGTTCTTGACTCAAGGCCGCATTACCCCAACCGGTGCTATAATTTTGGGTATTGTCCCACGAAAGGTTAGTGCCACCATCGTCCCATTGACTTGTTCCATTTGAAGCAGGCTGAGCAAAAAAGCCTTCACCAACCGTATTGATACGAGTATCTGGGGAGTCGTTAGAATTATAAGGCCTTTGTGAGCGATCACCAATGTGACTAGGCGTCGGGGGTTTTTCAGACACAGATGTTGAGAACGGCGTCGCAATTTCGTCAAGTTGATGGGTTCTTTTTGGTATTTTGAAAATCCTCGGAAGCAAGTTCCATTTATCAAGAAGAGATCTTGACAATTGATAAAGCGCGTATTTATCCGAATTTTCATCCGGAGGTTTTTGGCCTTCAAACAGGGATTCTATGGCCACATCAATTCCGGCTTCTTCGATTTTATTTCGAGAAGAAATCGGACATTTGGATAGCACGCTCAAAACGTAATACACAATAGAAGGCTCGTTCTTGTACAACGACATCAGGGTTTTAAAAATTAGCAAACCATGTAACTGGATGAATCTTTTCAGACAAACAAACGAGGTAGTCGCCTACAGCAATAAAACAACGCAAAATACATTCAAAATTTGGAGCTGACGCTGGAGCGGACCTACTGATTCGATAACGATCAGTTTTTTTAATAGAGCAGGTAAAAGGGCGGGATTTTCGATGCCCTTGGGCTCCATAAATACACTCGAGGATTTTCTCCTGAATTTAACGGGGGCTTTTGCATACTCGCTATCCGCCGCGTCTTCATCATCTTCTTCCTCTTCCTCCTCCTCCTCTTCTGTAGAATCCTCATTTGAATCGGTAGGTTCGCGGCGAGAGGCTTTTTTTCTAGATTTTGAAGATTCTCTTCCAATGAATTTTTTGCAATTTGGCTCTCCACAATGGCAAAGTTGGGCGCCCTTTTCGTTTCCAAAGCGTTGAAACTTGTAGTCAAAGGTTAGCTCGGTGTTTGGAGCAATATCTTTGATGGAAAAGATGCCAATCCTCATTTGATTTTCGACAATCCATTTTTGGGTCTGGCAATTCGGGGCGCACGAATGGTTCATGAATCTAGAAATATTTCCTTTTTTTGAAGCATCTATAATCTAAACAGAACAGAAAAACAAGGATACCTGTTCTGAGTTTAGAGTCATAAAGTAAAAATGGGAATCGTCCCCCAATTTGGCGATACGCTCATTCATGGTGTCGGGAGAGAGAATCTCGCCAACATATTCCATTATAAAGCTGCCTAACGGTATAAAAGAGCGCGTGCGAAGCCCACAGCCTTTTCCTGGGGACTCGATAACCTCAAGATCGGATGCATATGCCCTCTTGATAAATAGTTTATTCTGGCAAAATCTTCCCGCCGGACAATCTTCATTGCATTCCATGAATAAAAGCTTGTTGATGCAGGAGGAATTCTGGTCGCATGCCCCGATTTTCTGGGAGCATTCACAGGGAAGCACAGAGTCAACAAACGAATGGCCGCCGGCTAGGGAGTACTTTGGCGCAATGAACGCTATTGTAAAGAATATGGATGTTTGCGGCCTACATGAATAGTCATTTGTAAAAATGCTTATAAATGGCTTTGCAGAGGCAGGTATGGGATGATCATTGTAAGGCTTGCTGGCATTTCCTGATCAAATAAACGATACCATGTACCGTACCAGTGGGAAAGTTGGTCATAACCAAAAAATTAAAATTTAAATAAATTTCATCAACTACGGAACAGCATGGCCATTGCCCCAAATCTTTTTATCACGCAGCTATATGGAAAGGGTGTCACCGTCAAGACCAATGCAGGGCTCTCGTTTACAGGTAAGAGCGAGTCTCATTTGAGGTGTTCTTTCTTCGCTAGATGGCAATATGAATCTTGCCCTGACCGACTGTAAAGAATATTTTCACGGGGAAGAGAAAAAGACGTACAAAAGCGCATTCATCCGTGGAAACAATGTACTATACATCAATGAAGGGATTTCCTCAAATGCGTTTTAATTAAACGGTTATTTGCCTTTGAACGCAAACATAGTTTCCTCCTACGTATATATGTACATAAAGACGCCAAAATTACCAGTCCTCCCAGGACTGGTGGGAAACAACACTTGGGGAAGCACAGGCGACGGAGCCAGCAGGGGATACCACCTTAAAGGGATCTTCTACATCGATGAGCCTATCGATTTTAAAATCGCTCGGATTGAACTCGAGGATCGCAACCACTGGACGATGATCGGAATTGACAACGTCCTCAAGCCATGTATAGGCAATCAGGTTCTAGTACACAAATAACACGACACGGAATACCATTTTTTCGGCTTGAAATAGAATTCTATCTGTCCACCCGGGGATTCGAGATCTAGGGGCTTAGCAAGGCTTAATGCTTACGACAAATCATACGTGTTCGCGTTTGAGGAGAACTTGTACGTAGGTGGAAATGAGATTGCACCCTCCTTAAAGTCATCAAAAATAGCCCCGGATTGCTTTTCTTTGAGCAGCTAGTTAGGGTTAGGGTTAAAAAGGCGAAACCTGGTCATTTGGAAGCAGCGACAATAACCACTCCGTTGAGATGTTGTCCATTTTAAATGCATCCAAGGGAACATCTATCCTGTAGTTCAGATCTCCCATCCAAATGATATTACTAGCATAAAATACAGAACCATACGAATGGCAATCAATGGAAAGCCCGGAGGGAAATACGGTGTCGTTGAAAACGGAATAGTATTCTCTATTACGAAGGGTCACGTTGTCATGTCCAGATGAAAAATGAGAATTAATGAAGCAAAAACTGGTGCCAATTTCAAGCTCAAAGCGCAACCCGATGGATCCTTTGTTTCCCGTAACACCGCCAAAGCCAGTCTAGTCATAGAGATGGGAGCCGGAATGGGGATACCTTTTTTACAAAGCGCTCTACCTTTCTTATTTGTGGAAGCAACGGCTTAGATATGATTAGGATCATAACTAGCCCAACCATCTGAATGGAGGAAAGGAAAATGTATTTGGTTTTGGGGAAAAATCCGGTTAAATATTTTTCAATGTGGCTTTCCCACATGGATGCCAGAGAAGTATCATCTGAAGTTAACACCTGAAGCAATGAGATCAATGTGGTACCTGGTGAGGAGACAGCTCAACAGCCTCTTGTAGCGATATGACAAACATATCTGGCGCTTGGTCATCTAGCTGTAACAAGAAATTGCCTTACTGCAGGCTTTCCAAAGCGGTCTTAAAAGCATGCCGAAATTTATATGCTCAGGCAGCTCACCGCCAATATTATAGGTGCAGCAATAAATTAATAGGTTAAATTTGGGCGCACAAAGCGGCATTTCGTCTTCAAAATGGCTATCACGGCATTCGGTAAAAGGCGAGTCGATGTTGAGAGCAGCTTTGTCGGAGAACAAATGAATTTTGGACGGACCCTTGCCCAGAATATAGTCGATCAGTTTCTGTCGATACTTATCTTGAAAAGTATTCACATAGAACCGTTGCGTGGATTTCTTCAAATCATCGACGATCCCATAAAGGGTCCTTTTCCCGGTGCGAGTAAATCCGGATTTCAAGGCCCCCGTTCCCGTATATAAAAAAGAAAGCGCATCTCCGTTATCTGCCCATGCACAGTTGAACTTGGAAGAAAACGACGATGTAGACGAAACTGTGCTTAAAATGGATCCGCCCCCCACTTGTAAAAGTATGTGCTTCAAAACGGATTGTGAAATAAGCGACTGAATGACGTTAGTCCTATCTAGGCAATCAAGACAATTGATGCGAAAGACGCCTTTCTGTGTAGACAGAATGGCCGATCGATTCTTGTCAAAAATAAAAAGCCCGATATTTTCGATGAAATTTACCGTGATCACGGAGGACAGTATTGCAGCAAGCGAGTCATAAGCAACTCCCCCGAGTACAGAATTCATGTCAAATGGAACATAGTGGATTGAAGAGCCAGCGGGTGTTTTGGATAGCATTTGTATATGCCTATAAAAGCGACGACTAAGCGCATTTTCGGGCTGATTAATATCCGAAGACAGGAGATTGACCACGTAGACCGGGGAAGAATACATATGAAGCAGATCACTAAAATGCTCCCTAAATGAAAGGTCGCTGGCATCCAAGCTTCGCGTAAATTGTATCTTGTGGTTTCCAATTTGGAAGCCCTGTTGCTCCCAAAACACTAAACAATTATTGCTTGTTCAATTTGAGCTCACCTGGCACGGAACCCCTGACTGAGGCGAATGAAAAAAGTTTTCCGTCCGTCTCCAAAATCATTTCGGTCTCCACAAAATTGGCAGTATTTCCGTCATCGTCAACTCCTCGTGTCAAGAACCTGGTTCCGGCTCTTTTCGAGCCGACCCGTGAAATTAACAAGAAAGAATTGCTACTGTCAAGGGTGGAGGTTTCATCAAACGATATAGTTAACGACGGTAAGGTGGCATTCTTGGAATATTTGGAGCCCGATGTTCCAGATGCACCAAGACCCAAACGAGTCGATGCCATTCTTAGTGCACTGGAAATACTGGATTTTACCAGCGAGTTGAGGCTATATTTTTTCATGCTCAATTCCTCGACATTATCGGGCATTTCTTCCGCTGACTCTTCGCCGGTTAAGAAAAATTGCCCAACATATCCTCTGATAATATGAATTCGAAAAGGAGGCGAAGAAAACGCTTCGGTTAGTCGGGGCTCGGCCGATGAATTACTTTTAAAAAAGGAAATGAAAGGCTCAATAAGATATTCATTCCAACAAAAGTGTGAAAGGCAATCCGGAAATACTGGCGAAGGCGGATAGGGTGCCAACCTCTTTTGTGTCAAAAGAGAAAGGTTGGAGGAAAGCGAAAAATAAAATGTACCATCGCTTAAAACCTTCAGGATGTCAATACAAGAGGCAGATTTCTCCACGGACGCCTCAGAAATCGAGGACGCCCATGGAACGGGGGAAAATAAATCATACTTTGCATCAGTTAACGAAATGGCCTCGACATGGTTAATTTGATACATGGGATCGCCAAGCGTAACAGCTATTGGCGTGGCCCTGGAAATCAAAAGGATATATGCCAGGCGATCAATCTGAAGGCACCCGAGCAAGCCAAAATATGGCGAAGAATTCACTTGCACATAGCCCTGTGGGAAGGTGTCGTCCAGCTCGACAGAAAGAAGAGCGCCCGTGCATTGGATGGTGCTGGAGGAAGAGGGCAATGGGTCTGAATGTTTTATAAAAAACCGCAAATCCAATTGCCGATCCGAATTGTACGCAAGACAAATGATTCTGCTCGAAAAAGAGGGCGTGCACTTCACGTGGACATTAATGCCACGGAAATAATCAGGCGCAGCCAGAAAATCTTCGCTCATTTATTTAAATTGGCGAATTTTAAATGAAAACTTTTAGGCCCACTTGATCCATTGTCAAATCAAATTGAACCTACCTTTTTGGTAGCTGCATTATCAATAGCTTAATAGATCAATTCCCTGAAGACTTTTAACTACTTTGATGCCAGAGGCCGAATCTCTGTCGCTTAGAGAGCTAATATCGGTTCTTCAAAAGCATGCAGGGAATCAGGATGATCAAGCAGACGGGGATGAGTCGGTTTCCACAGGCCTGCACGAGTTTCTTGAAGAATCAAATGGATTTTATGTGTTGCATTTTTCCAGATTTGATGTGACTGTGAACCCGAATTTAGGGCTCCTCGAACAGGATGTTGCTCTGATCTTCAAAGCCGTTGGTCCCAATGTGCTTTCCGAAAACGTCGAAAATCTGGTAATGAAATTCTTGTCGTATTTCATTGGACCAATCCAATTTGTAATGGAAGCGGCCGCAGTGCTTGCCGCTGGACTGCAATTTTGGATTGATTTTGGAATCATTTGCGCCATGCTTATTTTAAACGCCTGTGTTGGGTTTTTGCAAGAGTATCAGGCAGGATCCATTGTTTCCGAGTTGAAAGAGTGCATGGCTTTGCAGACAGATGTCATTCGATACAATGGGATATCGATGAAATTGCCGTCAAAAGACCTTCTTCCGGGCGACATTGTTGTCATTGAAGAGGGCACGATTATTCCGGCGGATGGAAGAATCATAGCATATGGGGATCCCTTTTTATTGGTGGACCAGTCTACAATTACGGGGGAATCTCTTCCCATTGAAAAGAAAGTCGGAAATGATGTATATTCGTCCTCCATTGTCAGGTCTGGATCTGCAAGAATGATAGTCACCTCTACCGGAGATACCACATTTATTGGCAAGACCGCTGTTCTTGTCAATAAGACTGAACGGGTAGGTCACTTTGAGGCTGTTCTTTCTTCAATCGGAACCGTGCTGTTGGTTATTGTGGTCATATTTATGACGGCAGGGCTCATCATAAACTTTTACCGCTCAGCTTCGATGGTGGAGCAATTGACTTTCATTTTTGTGATTGCACTTGTTGGCGTTCCCGTTGGTCTTCCAGCAGTCGTGACAACTACGCTCGCAGTTGGAGCCGCTGAACTGGCTCGTAAGCGAGTGGTTGTCAAAAAGCTTGCCTCCATTGAATCTCTAGCCGGTGTGGATGTGCTTTGCACAGACAAAACAGGCACGCTTACGGAAAACAAACTTTCTGTGGAGGTTCCTGTTTTTTTTAGTCCCTACACTTCTGGCGATGTTATGCTTGTTGCTGCAGCCACATGCTCGCGTTCGTTGAGGGGCATGGATGCCATTGATCACGCCCTGTTGTCATCGCTGACGCGGTTTCCAGATGCTCTTTCTCGTCTGGAAAACTTGAGAATTATCTCGCTCGTACCGTTTGACCCTGTTTCAAAAAAGGCAACCGCCATTGTGGAGGACTCGAAGGGCAACCGTTCTTTGTACATAAAGGGGTCTCCTCAAATCATTTTAGACCTTGCCCCATCAGACTATAGCGCAAGCTTAAAGGAGCAATATGAACATGCGGTTTATTTATTGGCCACAAAAGGCTTTCGTTCTTTGGGAGTCTCCAGACAAAGTGGCGACTCAAAAGAGTATCAAATTGTTGGAATCATTCCACTACATGACCCTTTGCGTCATGATGCTGCCACGACCATCAACGAGGCCCAAAAGCTAGGGCTTTCCATTAAAATCTTGACGGGCGATGCTTTGGCCATTGCCATCGAAACTGCAAGGCAGCTTGGGCTCAATTCCAGAATCTTGCCGGCAAACGATATTTTCACCGACACCGACTTGTTCCAAGTAAGCATACCGGATATCGGTAGTGTGGTTGAAAGTGCAGATGGCTTTGCACAAGTTTTCCCGCAACACAAGTATCGTGTGGTTGAAGCTCTCCAAAAGAGAGGGCATTTGGTCGCCATGACAGGCGATGGAATCAATGATGCTCCATCTCTCAAGATTGCAGACACCGGAATCGCCGTTGAAGGGGCTTCTGCGGCGGCACAGGCGGCCGCCGACATTATTTTCCTGAAAGCTGGTCTCAGTGTGATCATTGATGCTCTAAAGGCGTCCAGGAAAATTTTTCAGCGCATACGCGCCTATATCATCTATCGGATTGCACTGTCCCTTCAATTGGAAATCTTTTTTGTCACTACACTTGCTATTCTTGGCACAACTATTGACGTCAACCTGATTGCTTTTCTTGCTATCTTTTCAGATATTGCCACGCTTGCCATTGCCTATGACAAGGCTTCATATTCTTTGGAGCCGTCTTTTTGGAACATCGGGTATATATGGATGCTTGCCTCGATACTTGGGCTGTTTTTGGCCATTTCAACATGGATCCTTAACGGAGCTTTGCTGTTGACCAGCGGCACCGGTATCATCCAGTCGTACGGAAATGCCGATTTTATAGTTTTCCTGCAAATTGCACTGTCCCAGTCGTGGGTTATCTTTGTGTCTAGGTAAGCTTGGCGTCGCAATTTGCTCTTTCCACTAGATACTCTGTCAAATTTGAAAAAATGACATTTCCCTCCATACAGCTTGTCGGAGCCATCTTGGTTGTTGACATCATATCTACGTTGATAACGATCTTTGGCTGGCTTGTGCCGGACAGCACCAGAACAGACATTGTAACTGTGATTCTGGTGTGGATGTATTCTTTTGGAATGACTTTGCTGTTGTTTTTGGTGTTCTATCTGGTGAATCATGTATATTTTTCACATAAAGTTTAAAACGTCCTCGGTGATGGTGGTGGTGGTGGTATCTTGACTAGATACAGCATTTAGTACGCCATGTGCTTTGCGATCAAAATACACTGCGCGCAGTCGGCTGTCCAACCCATAAATGTAGCTTTGAATTCGCAATAAATTTAGGGTTAAAGCTGAGCGGGAGACACAGCACACCTGCCACATGCAACACATTACATTTTCACTTTCAAAACTTGTAAACTTCCAAAAAACCTTACAGGACCGACTTTAAAAATGGATCCAGCACTTGATCGTTCGATTTTCTTTTATGCGTCTACCAGCGAAATCGTATTGTTGCGGTCTCTTGTTTTCGGGTTTTCACCCCTTTCAAGTGTAAGAAATTGGATGTCATTTTTAGTCTTCACTTGGGTTCCAAATCTTTCCGGGCTCCAAATCTGTATGTATTTCAGCACTGTCCGGTAGCAACAATATAATTGCCTCCTCGTTCCTTAATTCCAATTTCTTTTCCTCTTTCTTTTCATCTTCCATTTCCAGTTCCGAGCGCTTTTTTCTGTCGTTTGAGGCGTTCTCCACGATGATCAGTATCATTTCATCGATCTTTATCGATCATGGGGTGGAGGGAAAGCCATGTAAATCCAAAGACTCAATTTCCTCTATGCCCATAACAATTCTTAAACTTATTATCTACGAATCAGAAATAGAAAGGCTACATATCAAGATCGAGTCTTTTTTTGAAGAAAAAATATTGTTCACCGGAAGCCTGAGCTTTATCAAGCAGCAATACAGCCATCCTGATTTTGCGGTACATTCTGAAAACTTGTTGTCTCAGAGCTGGGCCTTTGATGTAAGTACCTACCCTATCTGATTTGCTTCAATAGCCACGATATCTTTTTAGCCATCTTTCGGAACTATTTAGCAAGAAGCATCTTACTAGCTCGGCCGTGTGCTTGAAACTATGTCCCAGAGACAGCTCGTTTCTCTCGTTTACAAGGAACGACCAGTCTGGTAATTATGAGGTATTCGGCTTTAATTACCCACATAGACATATTCGTCTAGAATTGCTTCCAGTTTGAGCGACACCATATCTGTAGCGCTGCCATCTATCTTTGCACAAATGGCATTAAATATTCTTCCCTTCGCGTCGCATTCCATGATCAGGATGGATCGGCAAAGAGATTCGCTCATTTTGACGATTACAAAAACCGATACCGCCGACAAGCCCCTTTTTACCAGCGAAATCTTTTCAAGCACCCTTCACGTGGTAGAATAGCTTGCAACTGCTTCTTCTTGTTTGAACTTTGTGCAATTAATTGCCTTTTCTAACCCTAGCCGTTATTAAAAGAACTCAACTATGGACTGGCATTGCCTATAGGACATTTAAACGACCTATCACGTTGCCGATTTTTGATTCCAAAATAAAACGCAAATTTAGGGTTAATTATTTTCAATGTTAGGAACCACAATCTACGCTTTCTCGTTTGTGTGGAATTTCGCCGCTGTAGTTCTATTTGGAGGGTATCCCGAACGAGTGATCCCGCCATATGCAATAGAACTAAACACTCCCGCATATGAGATCTGTTCAGGCGTCATTCACGATGTGGTAAGAATTTTGGCACCCACTTATCTTGGGTACGCCTTTCTTTCTTTATTTGCTCTGTTTTCAAAGTCGCTGGAAGTAAAAAAAGCAATTTCCTCTGCCCTTGCCATCGTTTTCCTGGTAAACCTGATTCTTGAGGTGCAGTGGATTACAACAAAGAGATGGAAAACAAACAGCATCCTTGCTTTCATGTTCTTCGACTTTCTCGTGTTCTTCTCAAATGCGTATATCGCATTTACATATTGAATGTTTACTGCACACTTGGATTGACAAAATCTCCATTCGAATGATTACAGAATAATATTAAAAAATAAACCAAAATAAAAAATCGGCCTTTATTATTAAAATGCTCGACCACAACAGCGAGCCTGAATCCTCAGAGGATTCTTTTTTGGGGAGTGATGATCAGGCGCTTTCCATAAGTAAGCCCGGGCACTTATTATTAGGCGATATGGATGATCAGGAGATAATGTCTTCCTTGGCAATATCTGATGGCGAACCCGACCAGGAATGTGCAGACGAGCAGTCAACCGATATGTCCCACGATCAGATCATCTTTGAGGATGATTCGTGCAACAGCTTTTACGGGCACAACAACAACCCTATATATGCGCTTGCAGTGCTGAAATCCCATGTCATTTCTGGGGGCGGAGATGATCGTTGCTTTTGTTGGGACCCGAGTGCCGATCCGCCTGCGCCCATTTATCCAAAGGCTTTTTCCAAACGTATGCCCCAATTCATTGATTATAGCAAAATTTACGGATTCCATTTCGGCCGTGGCAATCAGCCACGATGCCGAGTTATGTGCCGCTGGTTGTCTTTCCGGGCAAGTTGCCGTGTGGAAGGTCTCGTCAAACGGCGCCTCGCTACTTGGCTTGTTTGATGGGCCCTCAGACATCACTTCGCTTCAATTTCATCCGAAAGGGTACATTTTAATGGCCTCTGGAGAAGACGGTACCATTTGGCTATGGTCCCTTCCTTCGGGAAATTGTCTCACAGTGCTGTCGACAGATTCGTTTGCCATTTTGAAGGCCAGCTTTTATCCGCAATCTGGAAAATATGTCGTTTCTTCATCTGCTGATGGGTCTGTTAGGGTTTGGGATCCAAAATCAAGCCTTCCAAAATCCAAGTTTTCCACCGGAAGCGCCGTCAACACAATAGACTTGTTCGAATCAACGACAGATTGTACAAAATTCATCCTTGCTGGCTGTGAAGATGGGAGGGTTTCCCTCCTCCATGGAGTTACTTGCGCATTGTTGAAAGAGCAATGTGACCTGCATGAAAATTCGGTGGAAATCGTCGCCTTTGCAAAGAGGGGCGAGAACCTCTATGCTCTCAGTTGCTGTTTGGGGGGCATTCTTGCCATTGTCGAGGTACCTTCGCTTGCTCTTAGAAATCAATGTGTACATCCATTTGGAATTACAACCCTGAAAGTTATCAGCAATGAAACCCTCTTTGTTGCCGTTACGGGATCTACTGACGGAAAGGTCCGAGTTTGGGATATTCTGTCTGGCTCACTTCTCCGAACCCTAATGGGCCATCAAGATACCATTCTGGATCTCTCGTACATTGCTTCAAGGTATGGAAATAGCATTGCATACTTACTTTTAGCCAGCAGTTGGTCAGTGCGTCTGATGACGGGTGTTGTTTGGTATTTAATTTAAATAATTAAAATTTTGGTCTAAATCGGATTTTGCGAAAATAAATTCTATCGATGGGACCGTTCTGAACTTCATGTGTTGCGAAAGGTATCGTCTAAACCTCCGCTCATTGCGCAGTAAGATTGAAAGCAGTTGCGATTTTTGCTCGCCCTCAGCGTCAATATGGATGTTCATTTTGCACGACTGGAGCTTGGCATCCAACGAGATCGCTGTAATTTGTACATCATTGAGGCATTCATCCCCTTGCAGCGAATCCGAGCTAGAAAGAAACCGGTAAAACATTTGATTGATAGCATCGGAGATCTTTGTAGAGCGTACTGGGATATTTTCCACAATATCGGACGCCTGACCATGGGCATGCAAATTGGGTCTTTCTTGAGGCGGGATTGGAGACACCCTTTGGGATCTTCTCTAATTGCATGATTGGAAACTAAAAATACCTCTTCCTCCTGGCGCGCGTGCAGCTTGGCCTCCTCTTTCTCGATTTTGAGATGTTTATCGGCGACTACCTTTGGAATGTACGATGTAAAATATTCCGGCACAACTTTAAGTTCGCGTAAATCGTGGGGCTTACATTGGACTTTGGGCTCAATTGCGATTTTGAGTGCCTTCCAAAAGTCTCCATTGGTGCCCGAGTAATTTCGTATCAACCTCCTCATGAAGCCAAAAATGTCATTAGGGTTTGCGTTTGGTTTATTTTGGCAGTTGCACTGCGTTTTTGTTTAATTACTTGAATTGATGTCTGGAATAGAGAAGCCCGTAAACAACATCTTCAATGCACTTGCAAACAATGATTCCAAGCGAGCCGTGTTCCTTTGCCAGAAGTATCTCAAAAAGACGCCCAAAAATTATCTGCTAAAGTCCCTTCTTTCCTTTTCACTTTCCTCCACGGGGAAAAAGATAGAGGCTCAGGAGCTGCTCAATGAGATCATTCAAACCCCAAAGGATCTTCTTCCGCTGGATTCGCAATTTATTAACTCCATCATTATGACGCTGAAAAAGATGGACAACCGTATACCATGCTGTGGCTAATTTTAGATGCCGAATTGTTGGATTTTCTGGAGCATTATTGCGATGTTTACCCTAGCTCGGAGGATTTACTTATGGAGCTTTTTTTTGCCTCAGTCCGCTGCCTTGATTTTAAACGGGCAAATCAAGTACTCGTTTTGTGCAATTCACGCCATTAGGTTTCTTTGAAGCTATTTAAAAAGACCCAATCGGACAAGTACTTGATTTGGTCCATTTTGGCGCTGTACAATCAGGCCCAAGTAACCGAAAAAAAGGGGCCCGAGGAAATTTCTCTGGACCTTGTTAAGAAAATGCTTCATAAGGCGGTTTCCGAAGGCCGCCTCAAGTCATTCCAAGACTATTGCCTGTGTATGCTTCTTCCCACCAAAGATCCCGCCTTTATGAGTATGCTCTCCTCAATCCCAGAGAATATTTTCCCCACATCTTTGGATAGCACTAAATGGAAGGCCCAGGTGTTGTTCCATCAAAAGGCCCATGCTTCTCTTGTTGAATATTGCAAGTCAATGAAGGACCCAACGATGATGTAATCCTTTACTTGTGTTTGTTTTCATAGACTTAACGATTGGGAGGTTGTGGTTTTGTACTTGGATTCCATTGCGGCGTTGAAAAATGAAGTGTCGCAAAATCCCCAAGACATCTTCTTTTGGGAAACCGAGGACTTGCCAGATAAAAAGAGCAATGTCTCCGCTTTGGCTCGCATTGAATTTGCACATAAAACCGAGGATCCAAGGCTCCACGAATATTTGTCCTCTTACTTTTCCAAGTTTGGACACAAGGATTCTTGCTTTTCATATCTTCAACCATATCTGCATCCACTCAGCACATTTGCCGAGGTTACCGCAGCATTTATCAACTCGCACAAAGACGAAAGCCCTTTCTGCGAAGAATCGATCGCTAGGCTTTTGTCAGCCTACAAGTTTAATGAATATTTTCTTCAGAATTTGAACCCAGCGTCGCTCAGTATTTCTTGTAGCGAATATTTAAAGCAATACGGAAAATCAAAGGCGTGCTGCCAAAAGCCTTTTGGAGATTTTATCTTTCTGGCCATTCTATGTGCCATTAGAAAGAATGCAAAAGAACAACAGCAGGTTCTTCAAAATCAAAATCAGGCTCTTGAAAATGAAAAGCAACTAAACGGCGAAAAGCCCGATCTCGTATTGCCATATGAATTCCTGATGAATTGTGCCGTGCTGGCGCTATTTGGACTTTGTGATGACGACTCGAACTTTATTTTAAAGCTTTTTGCAATTTTCTTGCTGCGAGAGCTTGGGGCAGTTTCGTTTGCCTTGTCCCTGTACGATTCTTTGAACGTAAAGTTCATTCAACTAGACATTTTGTCATATGTTGTGCTGGATTGGATTCCGCTTATTGGGTTCAAGGAGGAGGTATTCCGTATCCAAAAAGGGCTTCTTTCCTTGTATGAAAACAATGATAGCGAGACCCCGGAATTGCTTTGCGAGGCATATCGACATGGATCCTTTTCCCAAGTTCCTGAATTTCTCGATCTGCATCTTCAATTGAAGTACTCTATCCAGCGCAAAATCGGCGAAATCTCCGCGTGCCAAGCGGACTGTTTGCAGCTTGCATCAAAGTCAAACATTGAGCAATTCTTTTCCTCTTTAAAGCTTCCTATAGTGTTTAAGACGATCGTAGATAACCGCCCTTTTCTTGACCTGTTTCCCACATGGAGCGCATTTCCGTGGTTTGCAGAGTTTTTGAAAAAGTATTCACCCAAGGAAACGTCCTGGATCGAAACATGCTATGCCATACTTTTAGCCATGAAATCATGTTTCGTCCCATATGATTCTGTTGATGATTTGATCATTCAGCCAACATTAAGGGATTCTTCAGATCAAATTATCCTATTCTCGCAAGTATCTTCCCTGTTAAAGGCAAGTGTATTGGTCGTATTTACAACACTAGGAGTTAACCACGGACGTGCTGAATATCGATCCATTGATATTTGCTCTCTTGAATGTTGTCAAGGAAATCCTCAATGGAGATCATGTGTTGTCATTAAATTGGATCTCCAAAATCGTCGATTTGATGGACAAGCAGTTGAAAGCGGACGTTGCATCTGCACGCCCTTGCATGCAGACGCCAGATGTGATTCTTGTAAGGCTTGAAAGTTTTGTTGAAATCATACACTACCTTACCATTTTCTTGGTGGGACTATACAAAAAAATCTCATCGTCTTCCAATCACGAAGCGATTTGCCTTCAAAATCTAGACACATTAAGATCAACTTGCCTGGCCGTTACTGAGTTGATTCCTGGCATCATTGCCTACATTGAGGGCCATTCTTCTGTTCATCTACCTGAGGAGGTCGCGTTTCCGCTGGCCCCAGAGGATCTGGACGCAAGCTATCATGAATCGCTACTGGAGCCCATGGTATGTTGATGTACCTTATTGTTGCCTAGAATTCTATCCGCAAAAAATTATCGTCAAGCATGCAAAAAGATTGGACAACAATCGTCAATTCTGCTAAAGGCTGCCTCAAACTGTCCAATAAGATTGTCCGCTGCATCGCGTAACCGTAAATTAATGATAAAGGTCTCGTAAATTTAATGGCAATTAAGGAGATTTTGGATCGACTCTATAATGATGTCCACATCTGCAGCCTGCGAGGCCTCTGCATAGATTCTGACAACATTTTCGGTCCCAGAAGGTCTAGAACAAGTGTTTGTGGATTACCTGACAAAAGCTCGACCGCCGTGCATGGGGTTAACAATGCCGTCTATTTTTTCCTGGATTCCCGCAGGCTCAAGTAGCTTCTGCTCATAGTGCGTGGTTTTGAAGATCGATCTATCAGGGACCTATGTTAGGAAATGTTGGAGCTTAATAGAAGCATACTGAGATTTTGGCCTGCTTCGACGGATGCTCCGTGTACATTGATTTCCAATCCTTCATGGAAAATCCGAGAGAAAGAAGAACGCCTTCAACGGCAAGAAAGTCAGAAATAGCATCGCCAACGTAAGAGTTAATTGTTTCAACGAGCCCACAAAGGAGCCCTACTGAGCTTCTCTCGGTCGACGATAGCGCATTCATTTTCTCTGGAGAGGAAAGGAAAGCAAGGGCCTTTTTAAATTTGCCGCTAAATAGTATGGTGCCGTGGCCGTTTGCCTCGAAATAGATTCCTGAATCGTATTTCTTGGCAGCTGAATGCAAATGCTTGACACCTGTGCAAGTAAGCTCAAGACACGTTTCCTATGAAAATTATTGCGCGCAAATACCAGCTCTTCAATCAAATACTTTTGACACGCTCCATTTGAATATGCGGTCTGAATAACACCTACAGACAGCGATGATTGGAGGCCGAGGATCTTTAGGTGCTTGCTAATAAAAAACGCAAAAAGCGCAGCCATCCTATCGCCATCGATAAGCTGAAATTGTTGTTCTAGGCGATGAATTGCACGGAACCCTTACTTTCGTCAAAGTAAAAGTAAACCACCCGATCTGCATCGCCATCAAAGGACACGTATCTGTACGATGGATCGACAAAGCTTACTCCAGCAGGTGGACAGTTGGAAATCTTTACATAGTCGGCACCACACTAAAGATAAATTTGGCTGCAATTGAAACCTTTTCATTTAGCACACCATTGCCACATTGCAACAAATTAACTTTAATCGGCAAATTGTGGATCGAATTTAAAACCTCCTTTAAGGCCAGGTGGCCAACTCCATTTGCAGTATCGACGAAAACGTTGCTCGCGATCTGTTCAGTATGAGAGAAGCAAATTGAAGAGATAAACTTTTCAAACCCCTGGCTTATCTTTGAGTAATAAGCATCGGCCAGAATCTCTTTATAAAATCGAGGGCCCAATTCGCCAACAAGAAAGTGAAGTTGGGGCGTGGTGACGATCCCAAAATCTTGAATGGAGCCTCCAAGTTTGAGAATGCCTTGAATTGCCAGCTGGGTGAGCTCTTTACCACTTGCTCTAACAAGGGTTAAGCCAAACATAATTTGCCGTACCTTGTGTCGCGACCAAGCAGCACATTGGCCTTGTAGGCATTGACATTATCTTTTCGCAGTTGCTTGCCAAAAATCGTTGTTTTCAACTCGAAGATCTTCTGATCAAGCAGGTCATCTGGAGTGTTTACAATGTCGTCAGCAAACACCTCCCAGCTCGCATCAAGCATGTCTCCCGACGGCTCGATAGCTTTGACACCATTATCCTGTGAAATGAAAAAAGCAGATGCACCTCCTCAGAGTTGTGAGAGGCCGTTATCATTAGCCCGACGTGAAGCCCACCCAGTGACATGCTACGCAGGGCAACCAACATGCCCATACGATATGCAATCGGCCCCATCATATGCGCACTATGAATTGCATTGGACATCAATTTACTTGTATCTGAATCCTGATGTGCCGTAGGAAAATTTTGGACGACTCATTTGAGCAGCGGATTTTTTGGGTAATGATCAATGAGTGATCTACTAAACTAGTACCGAAATATTGCAATTTGACAGTTTAATTCCAATTCGAAATAATGAGAGCTCTTGCGCGTTTGTTGTCTAGTGTGGATTACATGGTCAATAGTTCTTACTTGTGGAAGTTGAAACGTCAATGCAGTTATTGGTAACATTGTATTTCAACAGCACATGGTTCGACAATAGAAGATGTAATGAATTTTTAATTATCTTAAGGGGACATAAACGCACTATGCAGGATGATTCCAGGGCAATGTCTGAATAGCTGTTTAAATCAATTGGCCTCACCACAGAGGTCACCATGGTTTGGGAAGGAATGCTTGTATAGCCTCTATCCAAGCACCAAGATCCAATGGTAAAGATTTCACCAACACAAGAGATGTTGTCAGCAGAGGCGGCAGAATTGCTGTAGGCGGCACCACCGCCACCGCCACCACCACCACCACAGCCAAACATCACAAAAACCAAAAACTCCATGAAAACAGATATGTTCCAGTGGACACTTAGCGGGACTTGGATGAATTCGATGGGCCAGCCGGTCCACATCCGACAAACGACGTGGATGTGCACAAATATCCCGTGCGGGATGCAATTGTCAACTAAAATGTATGATTTTTTGGCGTTTGGGACGCTTGGGCCGTTGATGATGGAGAGAACGGAGCTGTCCGTATCAATATATTTACATTGCAGCAAAATCCCATTTTCAGATTCCGAGTGAGAAAGCTGGAATAGGCAGGGCAATAAAGACGAATAGAACGAGAAGGCCTCGGAGGAGGAAACCGTAAAAAAAATAGGTTCACTTGCAAAGACTTCATTGATCAGCGTGCCAAATGTTAGAAATGCAAGGTCCGACTGGTAATACACGCTGCACGTGCGCGTGTGCTTGGCCACAAGCTTTATGGCCGAAAAATCCTCCATACAAGACAGCGATAAAATATCTTTGGATGGGTTTATCACCTGTGGCGATAGAATGGGAAGGTGGTTCGTATTGGTGAAGAACAGATATAAGGCCAACTTGAAGGAGCACGTTGATTTGTCGCCAATGCAGTCGGCCTCCAAAACGAACGCAATTTTCACTCTGCCAAACACATACGCCGTAAAAAGGTGAGTTATGTCGGAGCGCATAAAATAAATTTGCATACGTGGCCATTTTGGGCAGCAGTAAATGGAATGTGTTGTAACAAAGTGCAAAATGAAATTTTCTTAAACCAGCATGGGAATCTTGAAAAAAGGTAGCTTGAACAGGGAGAGCCCTCATGATGCCAAAGACGAGAAAGCCAAGCGGTAAGCCAGAGCGGGCTCACCAGTCAGTAGTTTCCAATGGGATGAAATCAATCTTGCTGAGAATGAGGCAGACCTTTCCGCTTATTCGAGAATGCCTGTAGAGGAGCCAAAAACCCCATATAGGTCTCCCATCGGGGGCTACAGCTCTGAGGAGATCTATGTGTCCTCGGGGGCCGGCGACTTTGCATCTTCAAATCCAAGGTCTGATTGGGATGCTGTATCTGCTTCTTCTTCCTCCGACTGCTTGGAGGACCAATCGAGTTCTGGTATTTGGGGTTTCATTTCAATTTTAGAATTCGAAGAGAAAGGAGACCGCCATCCCGGCAAAAAACCAAACAGGCCCTTTTAACCGATGCCAGCCAGCAATGAGCGTTATAAACAGAGCCATTCTTTATTGGGTAAATCTGACGCCAATAAAAATGCAACCTTATGTTAATCGCAACGGAGGAGGGAATGCAAGTTAACCGTTGCACAATTAGGGAAAAGAAATTGGCCGAGATAGTCGGAATCTTTGTGCGGCCCTTTTATGGTGAAACATGTATAGCTTCAATGCTTTTGCTTGGATGTTTCTTTTTTGTCTCTATTTCTATCTTTCTGGTGGGGATTTTTCAAATCCCCGATTGCGATCATTCGCAATAAATTGCCCTGTCAATCTCTTGGTCCCCTAACTCAAATAATAGACGTAATTGATCGCGGAATGCGATAAGGATTTTTCTTTACCCACAGAACAAGCTGCAACTTGATATTCTCACAAAGTACAGGTGGATCCTCATTTCTATCCGTCTCTTTTTTGTTATTTGTTGTTTCAGGCTGCACATCCTGTGTGCTTTGAGAATTTATCGATATTTTCAAGACCCCAAGTTTTCTAAAGAAATGCTGGCTATTATATGCACATATTCAAGTATTTAATATGGCTGGTTTGCAGAAAAGCAACCCATGATGTCCACCTTCCTGGCGTATAAATTTTCTGGCCTTCATGGTCGATTGCGTTTGTAATCGCAAAACTTTGCACCGAAAATGTCCCATCCATTCAAGAATCGTATTTATTTAAAATTTACCCCAATTCCACACCATCATGGTACATTTTATGTTCCCAAAATATTTCACCACTTAAATAAATGCCAATTTTAATTTCAAAAAATATGCTTCAATGGGCTCGGATGCCGATCTTTTTACATGAGGTCGAAATTCTTTGCATCAGGCCTCCAAAAGGCCGAAGCAACGAAAACCCCCTTTCAAAATCATCTGTCCCGTCTTTTTAGGGGATTAAATGTGCAAACAAAAAAGCCGAAAATAGCATAGCTTATCACGTCAATTGCAGTCCTACCTTGGATTTTCATTTGTAAATTAACTTCCAGATACTGGCGCCCTATTAGAGCCTTCAAAACGAAGGTATTCGCCACATCATCTCTAGCCTTCCTTTTCGCACTCCGTTTCGTGTATTTCTGATACGGGGCGGATGCGCTTAACTTGCATACAATAGCCTGGCCTATTAACGCGATTCAATAAATGCAATCAATTTTACAAATTAAATTTAAATGAAATCCGCTCTACTTGTGGGCGCATATGGAGCTTTAGGGCGTTCTTTGTATAAAACGCTTTTATCCAGCTCTTGGGTATCAATACCTAACTAAGCTTTCCAGAAAATCGTATCTATTGGGTTAAGCCATAATCGATCGACTTCATCTTCAGACTCGGAAACCATATTTGTTCCGCCCTTGGACCCGGACAACATATTACTCCAGCCTTCGGATTCTCTTTCAAAACAGCGATCGCATGTACTTTGATCTATTTTATTTAGATCGACTCTGCCTTTCCGACGAACATAAAATTTGATGCTGTCTTTTGTGTTGCGGGTGGATTTTCCATCGGTAGCGTCAAAGATCACTATGGCATGCATACCAACTGGGTTTACTTTGTAGATGACTTGTTTAGATCGATCGAGTCGATGTACGATGTTAATCTCAAAAGCTCGCTTCTGACCGCGACATTGGCTAGAGACTATCTGCAAGAGTATTTTAAACTCTTTTACGTTTAAGAGATGGGTTGGTCGTTTTTGTTGGTGCAACGGGAGCTTTAGCCCCACTTCCAGGTTGGTCCACCCATTTGATTCATAGACGCGCTCGGGTATGGACTATCAAAAAATTCGGTTCATTATTTGGTGAAATGCTTATCCTCCGAAACATCCGGAATATGCTCAAATGCCAAGATCATTTGTGTTTTGCCGTACTTGATATTTTGCTTATTGGTAGCAAAATCCTGGATACCCCTGCCAATCGGCAAAGCATGCCAAAGGCCGATTTTAGCAATTGGACGTGTGTCGACGACCTATCAAGGTATTTTAAATCAGACTAACATAAGGATCTTGATGACCTTTTATCTGTCAAGATCTGAGCTTGAACGAGGTTCTTTCATAAATGTAGAAACATTGGGCAGCATTACCAAGTGGAATAAAATTTAAGTCAAATTTTAAATAGACGTATTTTTCAGATCACTGTTTGCATATGATATCTCCTCTTTGTCCGGTCTGGGCGCCTTTTCTTGGCGCCTTGGGTCTTGCCATCGCTTTGACCTTCTGCGTGCTTGGTGCTGCATATGGAACTGCAAAAGCTGGCCAAAGTTTGATCCTTGCCAGCTTGACAAAACCCAATTTTAGCATGAAAAGTCTTATTCCTATCATCATGGTTGGTGTAGTTGCGCTTTACGGTCTTGCCGTTTCCGTGCTGATGTTGCAGGGCATCAAGCAAGACAGCTACTCGCTATTTTCGGGCTGCTTGCATCTTTCAGCAGGAATCTGCACAGGGCTAAGTGGCATTGCGTGTGGCTTTGCCATTGGCATTGTGGCCGACTCGGGCACGCGTGCATCCATGCAACAACCAAAACTTTTTGTACCCGTTCTACTTATATTGATTTTTGCCGAAGTTCTGGGTCTATATGGCCCCATTGTAGGAATGTTGCTCATCTTTAAGGCAAGCAACTCTGTTTGTTAGTCCCCAGTGATTTTTTCAAGTTTAATTCGTTCTGATTAAAATTTAATAATCAATTTAACAATTAATTCAATTCAACTTGGCCACATTTCCAATGTCATCCATTGAGAAACTTTTGATTCGAGGAATCCGGTCGTATGATCCCCAGACACAGAATGTGATCGAGTTTTATACCCCGTTGACGATCATTGTTGGCCAAAATGGCGCGGGAAAAACTGTAAGCTCCAAGCACACTTGCACCCTTCCATTAGACCATTATTGAATGTTTAAAATTTGCCACAACTGGGGATCTCCCCCCCAATTCGAAGGGGGGAGCATTCGTGTACGATCCAAAGCTTGCACATGCAACAGAAGTAAAGGCTCAAGTGCGTTTGAAATTCAGAAATGTCAATAAACAGCCCATGATTGTGACAAGGTCTCTTCAACTGACACAGAAAAAAACAAAAACCGAAATGAAGACGCTGGAATCATTGTTGGTGATGAAAGACCCAATAAGTGGAGAGGTAGCTTTGCTTTTATTACAAGGTCTAGCAAATTTCTCTCAGCAGCCGATGTGCCGAGCTCGATACGGAAATGCCGAATCATTTGGGCGTCTCTCTCGCCATTTTGGACAATGTTATATTTTGCCATCAAGAAGAGGCGAGCTGGTACATTTTTTTGGCTTACTGACACCAATTAGGCCGTTGGCAGAGCCCTCGGTGCTGAAGAAAAAATTTGATGATATTTTCTCTGCAACAAAGTTCGTATCTTCAGCATTTACTGATTTGTCAACTAGATACTCGAAGGCACTAAATGAGCTCAAGGATATACGAAAGGAAATGCAGCAGGGACTAAAATTGGAGATCCAAAAGCTTGAGTTTCTTGCATCTGATGTCGACAAGGCGAATAAGGTTCAGCCAACCCTGCTATTACTAACATCAAGATCAAAATTTCGGTTCAGAATTTCAAGGATAAACTATCGCATTATTCTTGCAATGTTTCTTCGTTCGAAAGTAGCATTACAAAATTATCTCTACTCATTGACGATGTAACGTCCAAAGGCAAAATCTCGCTCTCATTAGAACAATCGCTTGAAAAGAAAAAGAACCAACTGTCGGTTTTAGAGGAGGCCAGAAATGACCTTCTCTCCTCGATGAAAATCCTACAAGAGTCTGACAAAGAACTCGAGTCTTTTTTGAGCCTTCAAGTAAATGCCGTTAATTCTGCAGAAGCAGAACTTGAGGCGAATAGATCTGAAAAGGCCAATCTTTGCAAAGAAATCGAAGAAATAGAGAGGCAAAAAAAGACTGCTTCAAGTGAACTTTTACAGGCCACCAACGAACTACAGTTGCAACAATCCAGGATTGCAAAAATCCAGACCTTGATCTCATCCAATCTCGATCTGGATAAAGACGGGCTTACCTTTGCCAAGCTCAACTCTATTTTTTCGGAACTCCAGCACAAGGCAGAGGGGTTTGAAAAAGAGCTTTCACTGTTGACGGCAAAATACCATCAGGAAGAGAACGAACTAAAGATCAAAAGGCAAAGAATTAAAGACCAAATGCACAGTTTAACGGAAACAATTAAATCAAAGAAGCGAGAGCAATCCAATTGCCATCTTCAAAAATCTTCCATTTTAAGCTCTCTTCAAGAATTGTCTTCAATATCCAGGGAGTTTATAGAGCAGCAAGAATTCCAATATCAAATGGAAAATGAACTGTTGGCCAAAAAAAAGTCTACCTGTAGCCGTTTCCAATTTGAGGAAAAGCTTTCTCAATTGGAGAAGGAAAAATTACAGATTGAAGGGGAACTTTTGGAAAACCAGGATCTTCTTAAAGAGCTGAACAGGGCCTCTGAAGCGAATACAAAGATTTCCATTAAAAGAACTGATCTGCGAAGAAAGGAAATTGCATACAAGCAAGCGTTCAATTCTGTTTGCTCGTATTCCTCTCAGCATTTGGGAAATTCTCCTTCAGAGTCTATTGACGATATAATATCATACTGCGCACTTTCGTCGCACGAATTGGACATCAAAAAGGGCGTAGTTTCCTCTAGTATTGAAGAGCTAGCCAAAGGAATCAACATCAACAAACTCAAATTGGAGTCGTTTCAGGCGCAACTTGAAGAAGCCAACTCCAATTTGCTGAAAAACAGGCTGAAATCGGAGTCCTTTTTTGAGCTTGTAAAATGCAGTGGCTTGTTATCATCAAATGAATACTTTGAACAGCAAACGTCTTTTCCTTTGGTTTTAAAAAAGCTGGACGCTCTTCATGTTGAGTTAACGAAGCGACTATCTTCTTCCAGGGAGTTGGAGAATATTTACGGATCGTTTTTACAGGCCTCTCTTTGCACCTCAGAGTGTTCTTTGTGTTGTCGGCGCTTTTCTTGTGAACTGGAAAAAGAACGCTTTACATTGAAGCTTACAAATTTGATAGCAAATATTCCATCTGAAGTCAGGGTATATCAAGACCAATTGACAAAATTGGATGCGATTCATGTCAAGTCTCGTGAAATCCAAACGCATTTGGACTACATACAAGATCTCGAGGGCGAGAGGATTCCCGCTTTGATCAAAAACATCGAAATCCACACTGGTCAAATTGAGGCGTTGAATTTGTCTCTTGAAAAAGCATCCAGCGAATTGAAATCGCTGGAAGAACTAGCGGGCAAATATGAGGGCTTGATGAAGCTCGTTGAAAGTGCAACGAAAATCCAAAAGGAAATCAAGCAAATTGAGCAGGAGATTTTGTTTATCGAAAAATCAGATAACATTGGCGTCAACTCTTCGCATTCGTTTGATTCGATTCAAGAAAAAACGGCCTCTCTTTTGCGAAAATCGACCATCATCAGGGGAGAGTCGGATGTCATAAGCAAAGATTATTCGACAAAGCTAAGCGATATACAAATGCTGGAGTTACAACTGAAAGATAAATTTTCTGAACTGAACGTCCTGAAGTCGAAATTTGAACACAAATTGCGGCTAGAAAATCAGTTGGCCGAGCTAAGTAAGCTTGATTCTTCGCTGCAAGTTGAAATCCAATCCTCGCAAGCCTATTTGGACACTGAAAACCAAACTCTTTTGTCAGATATTCAGTCAAGATCCTGTGAAATCGCAAATTCCTACAAAAACGACGAGTTGGCATTGAGAGAAGCCAGAAGATCCTTTTTAGCTTACTTCAATCCATTTTCGTTGATACTTTCAGAATGTTGTGAATGGGAAAACAGAAGAGGCATTGATTTCGTCACCTCGGAAGTGGTTTCTCTTCAGGACAAGATATCCCGGTTTTCTATCAAACAAGACGAGCTCAGGGAAACCATTTCTCGGTTGGACGCTTTATTCCTTTCCTATTCCCAAAAGGCATCTGAGATAAGGAATATTGAAAGGAATGTTCGAGATAATATCAAATCCCGCTCCATGTCCAAGGCTATTTCTTTAAAGAGAGAGGAGCTTACCGGCCTGCTTAATGGATACTCTTCCGGATTACCTTATATTGAGTATAGACGTCAGGAGGAAGAGTTGAAAAGAGAGCATTCTGAGCTGCTTGTCAAGGTATCGATGGCACATTAAATTATAGAAAGCAGGGGTTGTTGGTGAAATCAAGCAAGTCGAATCGCATTTGCAAAGACTGGCAGCTGAACTCGATACCGATTATGGAGAAATCGAAAAGAAACACAAGTCCCAGTTTGTCAAGGTGAAGGTCACTGAGCTTGCCCTGGTTGATCTCGACCAATATGCCAAAGTGCTGGACTCGTAAGACTTTTCTTTCACGTAACCCATTGCTAGCGCTATTATGAAATACCATTCGTTGAAGATGGAGGAGATCAACAAAATCATTAGAGAGCTCTGGGTTTCCACATACCAGAGCTCCGACATAGATACCATTGAGATCCATTCTGATGCAGAAACTACTCGAGGAAATCGCTCGTACAACTACAGGGTTGTCATGCTCAAAGGCGACACCGAGCTTGATATGCGCGGGAGGTCCTCTGCAGGCCAGAGGGTGCTAACTTCGATTATCATCCGGCTGGCTCTTGCGGAGACATTTGGGCTGAATTGCGGCATTCTTGCTCTCGACGAGCCCACTACCAATTTAGACCGGTCAAATATTGAAAGCTTGGCAGAATCGCTTTCAAAGTACCGCATTTTGCTTTCCCCCATTTTAGCATCATTAAGGCGCGACGGAGACAGTTTAATTTCCAGCTTATCGTGATCACCCACGATGAAGAGTTTGTGCAGCTATTGGGAAAATCCGAATTTACCGATTATTATTGGAGAGTTTCCAGGGATGAAAAGTACGGCGTACACATTGCTCATTTTTAGCCAAAATTCGGTCATCGAAAGGCAGTCCATCGTTGCCGGCACTTCCACACACTGATACTAAATTAATAAAACACTGCATTCTCGTGTCGGGTCCAACTGTGCAACACCGTTGTATGCTTGCAATCTCATACCTCTTTGGGGCGAGTTAGAAGAGTGCACCGCCTGCAGCGCTGTACGTGTACCGCCGCAAGCAGCTCATTTTTGGTGGCGAAAGAAATCACATTTATTTATCGATGGGATTAATTAAAATACTCATCTGTTTCTTCAAGAACCTCCTCAACCCACTCAGAGACGGTGGTCGATGCAGATAGCTCTTTTTTTGTGTTAAAGAGGTTGGGATCATTAAGGATATTACACCAGTCGGCTCTAGCAGCCTTTTTCCATGCAATCCAGTCGGCAACAAGATTTTGTTTGCTCTTTTCTTGATTTTGCTGAGTACTGACGATGTTTGCCTGATCTTCCTGGTCAAAGATAGCGGAATAAGATTTTAAATTCTTCTTGATGTCTTTGACCTTTTCAGGGCTAAGCAGGATTTTTGGTCTGGGTCTCCAAGAAAAGTTCTTCAAAACATCCATGGGCTGGCGACGCAAAGTCTGGCCTCTAAAGTCCCAAATTGTGTAATTGTTGTCGGACTTGCAAAGATAATGCAATTGAAAGGTTGCGAAAAACCTTCCCGAGGGATCCCATTCAGCATGGGTGGCATTAAAGTTTTCAATCGACGATAGCAATTCAAACTCTTCTTTATCGTTGATCGAGTAAAACTCCAACATTCCAGCCATGTTTTCGAGCCCACAGAAGACAAAAAACCGTCCCTTTGGATTCCAAAGAACAGACCCAATCGATCTCTTTTCAAATGACTTGATGAGCCCCATTTCGTACCGGGATGTGACGGTAAAATCCTTGGATTTGAGGGGCTTTTTCATGTTGTAAAAATTGATGATAAGCTTTCCAGAGTCATTTTCAATCGTCGCAAATCGATCTCCAGTCATTTCCCACGAAAAAGAGGTCAGAAGCCCGTTGAGCTCCAGAAATTCCACAGAAACGTCCTTTTCGTTGAGACGAAAGATTTCAATCGAGCTGCTCTTTTTTCCCTTTGACCGATCAACGGAAACCGCAAAGTATGTCGATTCAGCATGCCAATACAAGTTGCAATGGGATATGTTGAACAGGTTTTTGATACGCAGCAGCCTGAACGTTGGGATCTCCAAAACCGCAACTTTGGCCGGTGTATTTTCATACTCCATGCTCCAATAGGCAAGAAGGTTTTTAGAAGGCGAGAATGCAATGTCCACCACAGAAATGGCAGGAAGTCCCAAAGATTGGTTTCCCCCGTTGACGAAATTAAACGAGTCTGTGGAGTTCATCAAAAACACTTCGTTTTTGCCGACAAAGGCAGCATATTTATCATCGTGTGACCATTTGACATTGGGCTCGCTCAAATTTTCAAACAAAAATGTTTTCACAAACATGCCGGTAGAAAGATCCCAAATCACCACGTTACTATTGAGGCCAGCAATCGGTTTGGCGCTATAAGTTACCATGAACTTGTCTGCTTTGGAAAACTCAACCGCAAACACCCCGGGGTGGGAAAACCGATTTATGGGCTGGAATGTGGGCCCGCCTGAAATCATAATCCCTTGTTGGTGGAAAGAGGCCAGATAAATTCCAGTAGTTGACCATTGTAATCGATCCGAGATGTTGGACTGTGAAAAAACACGCTCATCTTGGTGAGCACCTTCATTCCAGAAAATGGATATCGAATCGGAATGATGAGCAAGAAATTGATCCCTGGCTCGTTCATCACATAGCCATGACTTTAGGTGCCCCTTTTCGGTAAATGGCTCTGGTGTAAACTTGAATTCCGTGATGGGGGTTGACGCGATCGATGCAAGCTCCGAAAATGGAAGGACCAGAATGGTATGGTTCTTGTCTAACACTCTACCATGAAGCGCCTGCTGGACATTCTTGGCCTGAGTGGCGTCCTCTAGCTCGACAAAAAGAAAGCCTTTGCAATTTCCTGTTTCGGGATCTTTAGGAATATAAATGCCATTTTCACGAATTGTGCCAAAGGATCCGATCAGTTTGGTTTTAAGCAGAGTTATAAAAGCCTTTTCCTTTGCAGGCTCAAATTTCGGAATCTGGTCTAATAGCAAAATATGGTCTGTAGACAGATCAGGAGCGATCGAATACTCCTCCTCCAAATCTGTGAAATCTATTCCAAGCTCTTCAAGCGTAAACTGATTTCCCGGGCTGATCATATCGAGGTGGGCGCAAAGAGATGGATTAAAAAAGAAAAATTTATTAATATTCTTCTCTCCAACGTGTATCCGGGAGGGGAATGTTAATTTTTAATATTTTAATTTCCCTCTTTGTTAATAAACACTTCACACCATGCAATTAACTCCAGAACATTAATAGGCTTTCTTAATTGCGCTACAAATGCCAACGAGCCCGCTATCAACGTGCAGCGGCCTGCTCACAGAGGGTCGCGATTTATTACCAGATGAAGATTTTACACTAATTTAAATTTTCTAATGTCTTCAGAAAGTGCACATAGCGATTCCAGATTTCTGAGCTTCTTCTCCTATCTTTCTTCATGTATTTCTTCGTTGCAACAGCTAAAAAAGGAACTGAACTTGAAACAACCCGGCTCATTTGATAATCTTGGACGAGAGGCTAAAAGTACGCTTGGATCGTTTTTTATGTTTAGATGTTTCTCCGACGCATTTGTTATTCGAAGGTGGGAAGCTTGATTTGGGAAAAATACTAAGCAATCAATTCCAAGTTTCGCATTCTTTTAACCTTGCCGCGGGTACCCTTCCATCGACGTACCACTTTGGGACCGTTTTTGTCGGCAAATCGGTAGCCCATTTTAATTTGATTGTAGAATTTTCTCCAAGGCATGCTTGACAGCAATGGCGATTTGCAGGGAAAAGTGCAGCTCTCCATGAGCCAAAATCTGACGGCAAAGTGTCAATGTCAAATTTCTTCGCGTCCAGGATATTCGATGTTTCAGTCTGAATCTGAATACCTGGGCCGGGACTATACTCTCAATGCCAAGGCGATCAATTTTGACCCAACAAATCTAACTGGTGTCTTTTCGCTTGGATACTTGCAATCAGTCTCGAAAAATGGCGGCCTTGCGCTCGGGATTGAGGGCATCTTGCAGCGCCCTATGCCTGAGGTCGAAGATGCCGGCATGACGTTTATTGCCAAATACACCACAGACGCCAAATCTATCTTTGTAGCAAACATTCAGAATTTTATTGGAGTTCAGCTCTCGTATTTTCATCGCGTAAATGAAAGTATTGAATTTGCGGCAGATATGCAGACCATTCTTGCAGGGCCTCAAAGAGAGGCACTTGCAACCGTTTCTTGCAAAATGGAACATAGACAGGCCAGTGTCCGCGCATCACTTGATTCACAAGGGAAACTGGGTATGTTTCTTGAAGAGAGACTCTTTGGAAGACTTGCGCTTTTAATATCCGGTGAGATTGATCATCTCAAAGGAAGAAACAAATTTGGAGTTGGGTTAGCCATTGAAAGCTGATCGAACGAGATCACGGTGCCACCTCAAATAAATTAAATTGAAAATTTGCCGTTTTAAGATTAGCCCAATGATGAACTTACTTTTTAACTAATCCTTTCATCGAGTCATCCTGTTCGTGGCATTTATGGGTGTCGATCCGTTGAATAAGAGTCCTCTATACTCAACAGAATCAACCGCGTTCTCCAATGGCGGTGCATTCCCTTCCTTTGCAAAGACCTCTAATTCAGGCAGTGCCGGAAAACAGCTACTTGACACGCGTATTGGAAAGATGAAGGGGGGAATCCAAATCCATAGGATTTGGGAAAACAATGACCCCTTGTTGGGCCTTTCCATAAACGAGAAAATCAGAGGAGTTGCAAATCGGATTTTGCATTCCGATTTCTACAAGAAATGGTACCTCTTTCTTACCCTTCTCTCGACACTGTGTCTTGTGTTGACTTTCATGTACACTTGGTATGTTATAGCATTTTAATGCCGCAGCCCGACGAATTCGTTGTTTTGCCTTGAATTTTTTGTCTTTTTTTCCATGGCTATAGAAATCTCACTGCGGTGGATCGTCCAGGGACAGGTTTGCGTCTTTGTTTGATTGTAGATGTATCTCCATGCAATTTCAAATGTGTTTGATCTTGTGATGCTTGTGCTATGTGGCGCGCTAATATACCTTATGCATGGACCGTGCTCTGGAAAGACCAGTCTTGAAAGCGAGGTGGACTCCTTTCTGTTGCTTTCAAGGAACATATTCCAATTCATCCGGTTGTACTGCATGGTAAACAAGTAAGCCTTTTCAAATCGGTTTTCTTTCACGAACTAGGCATCGATTGAGCCTAAAGACCCGTCTTTCCATGATCGATTTCACAGACATCGAGTCAAATGGGTACCGGAGGGCCTTTAGTTGAAATTTTTTAATTTAATAAATTTAAAATGAAAAACACGCGAGCTCCCATAGTGGGAAGAACACAGGCATCTGACAAATCCTTGCTGTCCTCTCTAATTAGAGGCCTAAAATTCAACAAGCCTTCACGTGATAATAGCAAAAAAAGCTCGCCTTCAACAACAGCGGAGCAGCCAAAAAAGCATCCAGTATTTATTTGATTTTATTTGTAGAATGAGCCTCAAGGAAACGAGCAAAAAATCCGTCTCTTTGGCCAGGACATTCCCTCCCCTATTGCTTCCTTCTCGCAAGTTCCAAATTTGCATCCAAAGTACTAGTTTCTATCCTTACCATTAGACTTGTGCTTCGCATTGAGGAGCTGGGAATGATGGCTCCAACTGCCGTTCAGAAGCAATCGATTCCTATTCTTTTAGCGGTAATGGCAATTCCTTCACATTTAGGGCCGAGATTTAATAGCCTGCGCACCCACTGGCTCTGGGAAGACACTCGCCTTTTTGCTTCCGATCCTTTCTCTTCTTGAACGCCATTCAAAAGCTGGCGGGTTCAGAGCACTTGTGCTTGTCCCGACCAGAGAGCTAGTTGAGCAGATTCATAGGGACATTCTGCTTCTTACCTCTTCCTTATCCGATTTTAAAATATGTCCGCTCACAAATTCAATGTTGAACGGCTTCAAGGCAAATCCTCCATCATCTTTCGGTTTGTCAATCGGCTAATTAACGTTTAGATATCATTCTGTCGACTCCCCTGCTACTATTTCAAGCGCTGAAAGATAAATGTGTTGACTTGACGCAATTGAAGATCGCCATTCTCGATGAAGCGGATAAATTGCTGGAGGAGTCCTTTTTAGAGCAAACAGATTCGATTCTGCCGTTCCTTCCGGAACGGTGTGTCAAAGGGTTATTCACCGCCACTCTTCCTTCCACTGCGGAGGCAATGGCATTTACATTCTTGAAAAACTCGCCAATTCGGCTCTTTGTCGGCCAAAGCAACGCAGCGACCGAATTTACGATGCAAAAGCTCGTCTTTGTGGGCGAAGAAAATGGAAAAAATTTGGCCGTTAAGCAACTACTTAACGGAGATTTCAAGTCCCTTATTGACGAGGACAAAAGCTTCATTGGTTTAAAGCCACCCATTTTGGTATTTGTTGACTCCATTCAGACGGCACGAAATCTTCTCCTGGAACTGGTTCCCTTGAGAATTCCTATGGCAATAATACATGGCGAGAAAAGCCATTCTGAACGCTCTAAAATTATTGAAGAGTTCCGGATCGGAAACATTTGGATTTTGATTACAACCGAACTGTTGTCCAGAGGAATTGACTTTAAAGGAGTGAATTCGGTGTTGAATTACGATTTCCCCGACTCATCTGCTTCGTACATCCACAGGATTGGCCGCACCGGCAGGGCTGGACGTAAAGGAATTGCAGTAACCCTGTTTTCAGTGGAGGATTCCGATAAACTGCGGTCAATTGCAAATGTCATGCAAGCCTCTGGATGCAAAGTCCCGGCCTTTATGCTAGAGCTGAAGAAAACAAAGAGAAAAGAGCTAATACAGAAAAAGAGGCTGCTAGATAAAAAAAACAAGCGGCAAAAGAAAAATGCACTTCGGCAGTCGCAACGTTCATCCCAAAACAACGACATCGAGGAGATGGACAATAGTGATGAAGACACAGACAGCGGGTGAAGGGAGGCTTTTAAATAAATTATTCAATCAGTCAGGATCCTATCCTTTTTGGCAAGATTCGTTCCAAATATTGAGCGTGCAGGAAAGGCAGCGGTATGGCTGCGAGATGGCTTTGATTGAAAACTCACTTGAAATCAGATTCAAAAATCCACAACCGGTACAGTTCCAAAAGATCAGCGGGGAACTATTGAAAATATGTAATGAATGCCCAAATGAGGTACCTGTTAAAATGGCAAGAAAGCAGCGTATTTTGTTTTCCAAAGAAAATCTCATATTTACATCTAATTGTTCCCTCTCTTTTTGGCTGGATTTTGACGGGAATAGCAGTAGCTATGGGAGTGGTTGGGCAGAGGTTTGGCTCTATTGGGCCCACCGTTGGGGCTGAAAAGGAAGCCGTCGATGGGGCTGAGGAGGAAGAAATGGAAAAATCGGCGTGCAAGGTAGTTGAGTCCTTGGTTTTATTTTTTGTAGATCCTTTTTGCTTCTTCATAGCCAAACTAGGCGCTGATTTTTCCAATAAAGACGACGATGAAATGAATACCTTCGATTTAGGCTTGCAAAGAGCAGATGTCGCTGCTCTTTTGCTTTTATGGGCTTTTAGGCTCGTATTTTGGATATCGGTTCGTGTGTTTTCCTGTTCAAGCTTTTCAAGATAGCATAACACACTTATCCGGGATGTTATCTCCTTTAATAAAAAAGAAGGAGATAGCCACAAAAAAGATGCATGAAAATAGCGTTGAAAAAGCCCCTCAAGCAGATGCAGTGTCTTTTCAATCGTAAAATAAGATAGCCTGCCATCGAGCAACAGTGACTTGGCATATGAAATTGACACGGCTGATTTTGGAACAGTAATAAACTTGCTAAAATAGGGAATGGAAAGATATTCATCGGTGATATTAGCGAGGAAATCAGCGAGCAAGCTGGTGTTCTTTCTTATGAGATGCCGTTGGGGCATGATTATGGCAGCCGCTTGTACTGGAAAATGGGATTCCATGTGTGCTTTAGAATACTTTTTCAAAAAAGCCTCCTCTCCCTTGAGGGATATTGAGCAAATGGGGCAATTAAAGACAAGGGCACTGCGATATCCAGTAAAAACGTGGGGAAAATCGCGATTAAATGGGGTTCTTTTTGCAATACCTCTAGATGATGCGAATGGGACAGATGCATTCAACGATATATAAAGAGGCGGCAACATATGCATCCAAATGGAATGGTATGCCTCGTGTGGGGAGATCAGTGCATATTCTTGGGTGCGATTTAGATTAGCTGGTAGTGGGGTATGCGATGGAGAAAGTTCTTTGCCTGTCTCGATGATTATTGTGGGCAACTCAAATGAGTGGAAATCAAGGTGATATCCTACTATGTTGCAGAGAACTAAAGGATCGTCTATTGCGTTAAAATTGAACAGACATACTATTGTCATGTTTGGAAGCAAACCCGGTGACGACCAAGGTATCGATCCATGGAGAGAGCTCTACAATATTAACAAAATTGGCCCTCTATGGTCCATAAATATCAAGGCCTACATTTTGCTTGTGGGCAATGGTAACCGAATATAAATTAACAATTTCCTCCATTGGAGAACGATTTGAAAAAAAATCCATTAAAGTTTCACATTTGATGGGTAATTGTATCAATTAGTACACCCAACCATCAATTCGGTGTTTTTATCGATGTTTCGGGGCCAATTGCTCGGTGTAGCCATTAGGCGGGTTAATGGTAAATTCTCTGCATTCTACAAACCAAGTCGTGCAAAATTTAATCTCTTCTCCAGAGCATTTTCCAATTCATCCGCTGAAGATGAGAATGAAGAGACCGATGTTTTAATCGTTGGCGGCGGACCTTCTGGCCTTTCAGCAGCTATCAAACTCAAGCAATTAGCAGCACAGAAAAACAGACCAATCAGAGTAGTCCTTTTGGAGAAGGGGTCTGAAATCGGTAATATAGCCTCGCCGATAACCTCCAAGGATCACATATTTTAAGCGGTGCTGTGTTAGAGCCCACTGCGTTAAATGAGCTGTTGCCGGGATGGAACGAAAAGCCAACGTCTTCAAATCTTCCAAAGTTTCCTGTTGCCCAATCAGTTGTTCAAGACGAGATGATACTTTTGAGTGAGAAGCTTTCCTTTGCCCTGCCAAAGCCGCCCCAAATGCACAATCGTGGCAATTTTATCATTTCCCTTTCCGACTTTACAAAATGGCTAGCTGAAATTGCGGAAAACCTTGGGGTGGAGATATATCCGGGAACTGCCGCATCAAAGGTACCCTTGCTTTATTGAGGCCGTGCTTTCCTTTAGGTTTTGTATTCTAGCAAGGGTGACGGTGTGGTTGGTATTGAAACAAATGCTGTTGGTATCGACAAAAAGGGCACCAAAACTAGCTCCTATCAACCAGGAATCAAATTTTTGTCTAAAATCACCCTCTTTGCCGAAGGTTGTAGGGGCTCGCTGACAAAACACCTGGAAGAAAAGTTCCTTTTGAGAGAAAATTCCTTCCAAACTTTTGGATTGGGTTTAAAGGAGGTATATTTTTGTCCCATTACTTGGATCATGTAGATATGGGACATCAAACCTGAAAATTTCAAAAAAGGTTTAGTGCTTCACTCGGTCGGATGGCCTCTTTCCCATGACACATATGGAGGCTCGTTCATGTACCATTCCGGGATCGAAAATAGAATATACATCGGAATGGTTGTAGGCCTGGACTACTCAAATCCTTACCTCTCGCCCTATAATGAGTTTCAACGATGGAAACACCACCCAAAGATTTCTTCGTTTCTTGAGGGGGGCAAATGCATATCTTATGGTGCAAGAGCCTTAAACGAGGGCGGCATTCAGTCCATTCCGAAGCTTAGCTTTCCTGGTGGTGCTTTAATAGGCTGTTGTGCTGGGTTTCTTAATGTTCCTAAGATTAAAGGAACCCATACGGCGATGAAAAGCGGTAAACTATCATTGCTGACAATTTAAGGGATCCTTGCGGCGGAAGCCATCATGGAAGCTAGCCTAAACAGCGCCAAAATGGGCGCTCTTTATGAGCAAAACATTAAAGAAAGTTGGCTCTGGAAAGAACTCTATGCTGTCAGGAACGTCCGACCGAGTTTCAAGTATGGTCTTGTTGCGGGGCTGCTTTATTCCGGCATTGAAACTATCATTTTTCGGGGGAAATCGCCCTGGACACTGAAGCACCATTCACCAGACCACTTGACCCTTAAAGAGGCTAAAGATTCGGTCCAAATTACATATCCGAAGCCTGATGGCAAAATTTCGTTTCCATTGTTGGATAATTTGGCCAGAAGCGGGACAAACCATGACGAAAATCAGCCATGTCACCTGATCCTCTCAGACCCCAAAATACCTGTGCATGTAAATCTGGAAAAGTATGCCGGGCCCGAAAGCCGCTATTGTCCCGCCGGTGTGTATGAATTTGTCGATAGTGCTGGTGCCTCCTCAAAGCGGCTTCAAATCAATGCCCCAAACTGTCTGCATTGTAAAACTTGCGACATCAAGGACCCACTTCAAAATATCACATGGGATGCACCCATGGGCGGGGGAGGCCCAAATTACTCGGGGACATAGGGTTATAAATTTATTTGACATCATTGCCATTGTAAACCGGCACACTAATTTGCTTTAATTGGAAATGATGGAATTGGAAACTAGATTTGCTTCCTCATTCTCCATTATGAGGGTGCTATTTTCTTTTGTAGGAATCGAGGCTTCAACTAGAACGTTGATTCCGGAGGAATTTTCCTTTTCAACCTGGGATTCAGAATGCTCCAATTCGTCTTGCGGAGAGACCTTTTTTTGTCTTTTGGGAGTGGTATAGGGAGAAGAAACAGCCGATGCAGAGGGAGTGGATAGGGAAGATGATGAGCGGATTCGACTCGATTTTCGAGTAGGAGTCTCTATTGGCGTTGTCATCGAGCCCGAGGCGTTTGAACGGCGTTTTCTCGGCGTGGTGATCACTTCATCGTCAGAGTCGTTGGATGATTCAGACTGGATTTGTTCATTTTCAATCACAATTTTATAGTTCTGTATTTGGACCGCATTTTCTGGGGAGTTTGCAAACAGATAATCATCGATGAACGAAGCTTTAATCAGAGGGATAGTTGCATGGATCATTTTCTTGGTGAGCGTTTTTTCATCCTCAACAAAAACCAACAAATATTGCACCGATTTCGACATTTTTTCATAGTATTTTCCGCCGTTCTGCTCGATCAGGGAGCGGTATTTTCCTAGCTCTGGCGATGAATGTGATGAAAAAGAGAAGGAAATCCCACTCAGGGCGCCAGAACTGTTCTTTTGCTCAGATAAGCATACAGTTGGCTCGCCATCGCATGGAGCTTGATGTTCTACATCGCCTCCTGCACGAGCGAGACTGTCCCCACTCATGGCGGTGGTATCTTTTGATCCAAACGTTGTGCTTTCTTTTGTGGCATTTGGTGTTGAATTTTCACGCGGAGGTACGTTTTTAGCCTCAAGCGCCTCACAGGCAATAGGACTTGCAGAGGCAATCGCGGTTTCTAATATCTCACCGGTTGCACATGGCTTGGCATCCTCAAAATTGGAAGCATTGCATATGGTAGGGTCTGTTAAAGGTACGCTATCACATTGCACCGCATCGGCCAATTTCAAATCCTTGCACGAAAGTGTATGACGAATGCTGGGTTTCGAATCGGCAGCGCCAATTTCTGCACTTGAGCAATCAAATTTATTCCCGTCTTGCAGACCAGTCTCGACATTTTCTATTCTCTCGGGCATAGAATTTCTTGTTTCCGCTATTTCTTCATGAGATACTGTGGATTGTTCAGATGCTCGATCGATGGTAGAGTCGGATGGGGACATGATTTAAAATTTAAAGGCCTTCTAAAGTTGATTTGAAGCATAAATTAATTTTCTGATTTTAATAAAATATACTCCCGAGAGCTGAGCCCAAATTGAATAATGTCCTTGTGTTTAAGCTCGACAAATCTAGAGCCTTCTATTGGGACGCCATTTAATATGGTCCCGTTTGTGCTATTCAAATCAATTACATAGGGCCTAGATCAAAGGATATACCATAACGATACCTAATCACAAACTTAGGGCCGTCCAGTCCCGCTGTGAAGGCCAGCGGAATCTTCCTAAATTGAATAACAGCATGTTGGTTTGAGCAGGAGGGATGGTCTGTCATAATATCGGCAACCTACATGTAAAAGTTATCATTTCGACTTTATGTTCGCGGCCAACCAAGAAATATGCCTTTTTGTCATCGTTCAGAGAAATCATGTCTAAAAGAGTTAGAGGGCCAATTGTGGGCACCTATTTGCTCAGTGCCCTTGAAAACATGCAAAGACCACTGGGATGTTCGTGGTGCAAATGAATCGTTGGGTGGGGAATACTTTAAGATGACCCCGCTTGGAATGGATAAAATTTATCAAATTCATACTTTACCATATTGCTTTCCTTAAGCAGGGCACCACTAGGGCGAAACGAGGAAAGATCGGGCAGAAAATCCGGCTTTTGATTGTCCATCAGATAATTCGGAAAAAAATATTTTTAATAAAATTAAGCGGCCGACAGTGTGTAATCAAAGGAGTAGTAGTCTGGGTCAAACTCGTGCAGCCTAACATAGCCGTCCTCGGCACCACTGGCAAAGCTAAAAAATAAAGAGTCAATCTCCAGGTACCCCGTGCCCCTTGGATGAAAAGCAACTGTATTGATGGGGCCGAAATGCCCCTTCACTCTTCCAATTTCCTCCTCATAAAGCATATGGTAGAATCGCACCTCGAACTTTCCTGCTCGGCTAGAAGTAGTGGTAACGCTCATGGCCTCTTGACCGCCTCCGAGGATAACCTAAAGAAAGCAGCGAACTTCGTACGATGTCTCGATCTGGGCATATTGCCGCCGAATTCACAGGTCTCTCCGTCATATAGGTTTTCAGACATGCGAGATTACTGGCATCGTATATTTTGGCTGAATGGTCTTTTGAAGACGTGATAAACCATGTCTTGTCGTTTGAAAATTGAAAGTCACTGATGGCTGCTGAATGCTCCTTGACGGTTCTCAGCTGATGGCCGGTCTTGGAATGAGAAATAAAAATAAACCTTGGCATCCCAAGTACATAGGGAACCATCCTCATGCCCCGTATAAATGAACTTATTTCCCAAGCTCCATGATGCACAAGTGATGCGAGAGCCCTGAATCACAACGTCAATAAGAGGTGCGGCAGATCGGCTTCCTAAAAGAAAAGATACTCGGCACAATATACTCTCCAGCTCGGTCATGGAAAAGGTCATCAACTTGGCAAGTTTTCCCATTTTTGCATCTGTTACGACGATCACTTGGTTGCCTCCATCATTGGAAAACTCCACGTGGCGCACCCCCGTTTCGGCGGAAATTTGGGCCCGCACTTGGCCAGTTTGCACATCCCAAAGTCTARCCGTGTTGTCTGCCGATCCGGTAATGAGAAAATCAGACGATTCATTGACATCTAACGACCATATGGAGCCAGAATGTCCCTGATAGCTGCCAAGATGCTCCCCGTTGTGGGAATACCAAACATTAGGCTCTACATCTTTTGATGCTGAAAATAGCAAATCGCCATCTTTGTTGTATTTGATTTTAGTTAACGATCTTGAATGCCCATGGAGCAAGATAGGGATCTAAAAAGTAAGCCATAAAGGGGAGTCATTGACAAACCATCGATTTTAAAATAAAAATTACCATGTGCCAGTAAATTTAAAATTGCCATTGAACGATTCATTGTCCGATGCAGACTTCTACTCATAATGAACACGAACTTTTAGATAATAATTTCACAGAAAGCCCCATGGTCAGCATTCATATCAGAGTAACTATTTTTAGGGTGAACTGGAAAAACTTCTGTTTAAAGAATCTTTATCCATTAGAGAAAAAAGAGTGACACTGCTAAGACAATTGGAAGATCCGTTCCATGTAGACGCTCTTGGCCTTGAAGATGAAAAGGATGGGATAGCGAAAAACGGCTCTACCAAGCAATGGGAATTTAACTTTATTAATGCCCTGCTTTTATTGCTGGCTTCTATCTTTTTTATTCACCACGTTTCCTCGTTATTTTACGCGGATTTCTTTTTGTAATCCCATCATTTCATTGATCCTAGTGGTTCAGAAGATACTGATGCATATTTTTACCCATCCCTGTTATCCCGACTTGTGCTAGCTTGTACCAATTCAGACTCCTTACGCTTTTGTGCTTAGTTCCGAGAATTCATTTATTTGTTTATTTACCATCAGGAGGGCCAATCTGCCTCCATCTTTCGTTTAGCGTTTCTGCACACTGTTTAATAAACGGAATTTCGAAATGCGGGAGCGTTCTTTCAAAGAATTGTTCGCAGTTTATATTGGGATGTGTTAGTTTATACTCGTACGTTTGCAGTAAAAGTTCAATTCTGTCGAGGTCCTTTACGATTTTGGATTCTATGCAATCTCTCTTCTCATACCGATCCCAAGTTTTGTAAAATTCAGAGCGAACGTCATTTTTAGATATAACAGAATCCAGGAAAAGCATGGCATCGTTTTCTTGGTCAAACTTCACGTCCTTCGGTACATTGGCAGTCGGTGGGATATCTCCCACTATGGCCTCAGCAGCGTCATGCACCAAGCACATTTTAATTGCTTTGTCCAATGAAAAGATTTCTTTACCAAGCTCTAATTGTGGAAGAGCAAATAGAAGCATCGCCATTCTGTACGAATGTTCAGCCACCGACTCGGCTTGTCCAGAGGACAAGCCTTCAATTAGCCAACCGGTCCTTTTTACCGTTTTTAATGAACCAATCCAGTGTCCAAACTTTAAGAAGGAATTTATCGAGTCTGAAGTCAAAGTAGCATTCTCAAATTGGTGAGTAATGGCGGGCGGGGTCCCTGGCTTCCTATAAAAAGCCTCTCCTAATGAGGGGCTAGACAAGAGAAGGTCATCAATTTGAGATAATATATGGACCCTTTGATTTTCCAAATCATTGCATGTGAATTTGGCTTCAATGAACGATTTTATCTCTGACAAAAGAGACACTGAAATCTGAACCATTGCAGACAGCAAAATTAAGTATGGATTATGGTAAAATTTGGCATATTTTTTGTGTATTATATTAATTTAATAAACAACAAATTTATTCCGCATTGGTCTAGTGGCTAGGATTTCTCGCTTTCACCGAGGCGGCCGGGGTTCGATTCCCCGATGCGGAATTTTTTAATATTATGTTTTCTTCAAATCCTGTCACCACAATAAATAACTCAATATTTTCCTCTTCAGTATGTTCCGAATCGAACAAGTTCTACAGACGCTCAATGGAGGTTAGGATGAATGGCGTTTTGATAATTACATTTTAGGATTCCCACTCACTACTGCTGGACTTTGCGGATATTTTGGGCTCCGGCTATTTTGCTATCTTCGATGGCCATGCCGGCAAAAAAGCAGCAAAGCTTGCCTCAACGATGCTTGGTACCTTGCTCGACCAGCCCTTTAAGTGCGATTCACATTCTCCAGACCAAATTAGCTCTGCAATTTCTTCCATTTTTGTTTCGTTTAACGAGGAGCTCTGCACTTCGCTTTTAGACGACAATTCAGGATGCACCGCACTTGTGGCAATATTTTGTCCTGATCAAACTAATGACGACATCGGGCATATATACGTGGCTAATTTGGGCGATAGTTTGGGGATTTTGTCAACAAACCACACCTACCGTCTTCTATCTGCGCCACACAATTGCTCGACAGAATCTTCTCTGGTCCATGAAAGAGGTGGTTTTGTATATGGCTCTAGAGTTAATGGAATTCTAGCTGTTACACGGGCCTTTGGGAATATTCATTTGAAGCCTTACTTGTCTGCAAGTCCATCCGTATTTCATGAATCCTTTTCTCTTTCTAACCCTCCTCATAGCTTGGTCCTTGCCTGTGATGGGGTACGTTTCGTTTCCATTTTAAATCCAATAGCTATGGGATGTATGCACCTTTGAGGAAGCAGTCAAGGTCGTTATGGCCTCGTCTAGTTCTGCCGAGGCCGTGGAATCTCTTGTGAAATATGCCGTGGACAATAATTCTACCGATAACATTACTTGTATCGTTGTTTCTTTTAATAATTACAAGGCGCTTTAATTTCAATAAAAAGATGTGTATATATTGATATGGTTAGGAGACCCACATAGAGCATATTAGCATCAATGAGGCAGACCATTGGGGCTATTGATCCGGCGAAAAGCATGATCCGCATTGGGACTCATCTCAGCAGAAAAAAGTTTGATTCAATTCTAATAAGCCTTAGCGCAAAGCAAAGGCATTCGTGCTTTGTACATTCTTTGCAGTTTAATCAAATTACTTTGTTTAATGTTATGGTCGGCCTAGCGGAATGCGCCCAAAACTCGCCTGTGTACTCTTTAAAAGAGTTTGCATCCGTGCCTCGATGTGGTCTACGTTCACGCTTCAAAAGTTGCCCTTCATTTTGCACCACAGGAAACTAGCTGGGATTGTTGGTATTTTTGCTTCTACGATTTTCTTTTTTCAGAAATCGCTTTGTGAATACTTTTCATTGGCCACATAAATGTTCGTGGGGTTTTAGGTGCTGCTGAAAATTTTCACACAAGAGCGTTAAAGTCTGCGGAGTTAACGCTTGAAATATTAAGCCAGTTTCAGCCCACATATCCTTGTTATGCTCAGCCTCATAATCTATAAACGAGAACTGCCGACAATTGGAGTAGCAATCTTTTGTGTTATTGCTGTGCTATTTGTTGCTCTTGAACAATAGATTTGAGATTCTGCGCGTATTTTTCCCCCAAAGCGGGGTTCTCTTCTTATGAAAAGAATTGAGGCAAACATCCACAGCAAGCGCACATAAATGAAATTAAGCGCATTAAAATTTACACAATTTATTAAACAGCAAGCGCAATTCTATGATTTGAATGTCCGAAAGTAATACTAAAAAACTACTCGAATGAATAGTTGCTATTAGAATATTCATCCGGATAATCAATACCGGGATTAAGGATGGGGGTGAAAATAGGCTTCACAGGCACGGAGGATTGATTAGCCAACGAATAATCATCGTTTTCAGAGCTTGAATAGCTTAGGTGAAAAATCGCATGACTGCCGTCGTTTCGAGTTGCCGAGGAAAGGTTTACATCGCAATTTTCAGAAGATGCATCTTCAGGGCTACCAAGGGACAACTCGCTAATAGCTGGAAGTGGTTGAATCCCACTTTGAGGTGACAAATCAGAATCCAAAGCATGTCCAGTGCTACTTCCGGAAGACTGCTGGGAGGCAGCAGTCGACGGTGCCAAGGCTGCAGGAAGGCTCTTATTTCCTAAAGAGGGCCTTCGGGAAATTGCATTCTTCAAAGCTCGCGTAGCAAAGACAGTCAAGTTCAAATTAGCCCAGTCGGTTTCGTGAAGCTGCCTTAAATCGCCCACCGTAAGGATATCCTGCATTTGCAACTTAACCGCCCACTCATAAGCTTTATCTGGCGATCTTTGAGAGGAAAGAGCCACCTCCGACACTAGCTCTTCAACGCTCATATTGTCAGATGGATAWGCATTTAAAGAGGAGCAAAATGTGGCTCCTGGTGGAGGGGTTGCTGTGTTTGCTGAGATGTATGGAACCTGTTGCTGGATAAATTGCTGCTGTTGACATTGAAAGGTAGATTGCTGTGGCAAACTTGAAGATGATATCACGGAAGGTTCGGTGGCTGAGGACACCAGAGAAGAGCCCTCTAAATAGTTGGAGACGGAGGATGCCACAGTTGGACTATTGGGACGCTTTGGTGGTGAACCTCCTTGAGAAGCTCCTCCTGCTCCTGCTCCTGCTCCCCCATTGGTAGCCAGCCCAGAGGGACTGTAAGACTGCTCAAG